CGATAATCTACAAAGATTCTGAGTAAATTTGAGTCATGATTTTCTTCTGAAATGTATTATCGAATCATTTATCATATTATAATGATATCATTATCTAATTTATAATATTTTCCAAATTGCACGTGATTCATCATAAGTTGCAGAATTACAAAATATGTTTAAACAAACTTCGCCCAGAATTGTTTTTCGTTAGCAATGATGTATTGTTTAGGTTAGAAATAAATTAAATTACTTTATATAATTTTCCACAGGTTTGTTCGAATATTCATACTAAAATTAAAATGGGTCTGATAAATATTATTAATGGTACCTAAACAAAAATTCAATTCAAATCAATTCAAAAATTCAAATTTAAGTGCACACTACAAATTATAATAAAATTTATTTAAAATGTTTGGTCAATTACAATTTTGTTTAAAACCTGTGGGTGGGAGGGAGGGGTAATGTAACGGAGCCTTCAATTTTATTCTAAAAGTAAACGACAAAAGACCTGTTTTCTTCAATTCTTAAGTTTTTTGTTGAGTTAAAAATTCGTTTTTTAGTTTACCGTGTAGTTTTTTTTCGTAATTGAGCAAAACTGAAAAAAACGAGGATATTTACGAAAATAATGTTTTTATTATTTTCAATTTGGTTTTTTTGTTGTGATTCAGATTAAAATATTTGTGAAGACTTAAAAATTAGACAGAACTTATATTTATCTTTTCTAGAAGTAGTAAAATCTTCAAAACATTTTTGAGCTATTTATAAACATTATAATTTACGTAGATTTTTACGTAATTTTATTCAATAGGTACTCTTTTGATAAAATTGTTAGACTAAACAGAAATACTCTTTTACTTACATTTATTTATTATGTGTTTTTAATTGTAATTAATTTGCAAAAATAATTTAGTTTTTCAGTATATCATTTGTGATTTCCTTAATTTATTTTTACCAATTACCGAATTCGCGCAGTGATAGATAAATAATTAATTATGTTATGTAGTGATGATCGAATTAAAAATGTAAAAGTTTTCATTCTTCGCAGTGCTCTATGGGCTAGGTTTAATTTAGTGTAGTATTTACGTTTTCTAGACGAAGATAAATTTTCAAAACATTTGTTTCGTTTTTAAGCTATTTATAGAATTTTAATTTTTCGAGTTTTACACGTAATTTTTATTCGGTAGGTCCACGGATAAAATTATTACACCAAACAAAAATGCTTGAACAATTAATAGGAGGTTCATTATAAACTCTGCTTAGTGGCCAATAAGAAAAGGTTAAATTTAATATAGTATTTTTTTTATAAGAATTTTAATATCAAATTTTCAAGGAAATCGTAAATATTACCTACGACCTTTCAAAACTTAGTAACTGAACTTTGCTCAGAATCTTTTTTTGTTAGCAATGCGTACAGATATACATTAAATTCCTCTTTTTATCCTATCCTACTAACTTCTTACCTACAACAGCAGCTCATTCATCTTGCAAGTATATCCAGCTTTTTAAATATAAATATAGGTATGTTTATTGTTTTTCGTTTGATTAACATAATATTTTTTATCTTTTAGATTTATACAAAATTATATTATTCTTTTACTACAAAAATATAATCTCGGATATAACCAAAAATAATTAAATAATAATACTATCGTGTATATCATGTAATCCCTCATGATCATAGACAGACCAAAGAATTCTTTAATATGCACAAATAAAACATAATAACTAGCTTGTTAACTAGTGATACTATGTGAAGTTTCGTTCCGCTATTTTATTTGAGGCCAGAATTATATTATCATAAAATATGTATAGGTAATAAACCAAATAACTAGAACTTATCTCAATATAAGACTACCTGCTTACAGTAAAATAGGTACTGATATTATCAATTGCAAAAACAGCAAGTAAAATACACAAACTTACGAAAAAAAAAATGTATTTTATAATATGAAATTTATATTTTATTATCTTTACACTTATTAACTATTCTTTATATAATATAAAGAATATGTTTATTATTATTATTATTATTAGGTATCATAAAAACACTGACGATGAATTTTTTATTTTGAAGATTTACATATTGATGTAATAAAAATTACGACGACAGTTTTATTTTATTAAAATATAAAACTAAAAATGTCTATAATTATTGAATAATTGACATACCTATCATGAATAAATAAATAAATATATCATTATAATATTTTGTCATGCCTATTATAATAAAATATAAAAAAAAATTGTTATTAATATAAATAATAACTAAAAGAGCATTCCTGTTTATAGGGAAAAAAAAGGCCGTAATATTTTTCAACTAATACCTACATTTCGTACATTTTCCCGTTTTTTCAATTTATTGAGGGAATTCCTGTAAAAATCAAAAAATGATCTCCCTAAAGTATCTCCCCGGTCAGATTTATTTTTAGAAAAAGTGCTATCATTGTAAATCGGATCAAAATTGTTGATAAAAAGTTGTCCACAGAAGAAAAAAAAAGAAAAATTTACATCATTGTATAACCAATACATTCCTCCACTAAGAATTTAAAATTGTAGCTACTATATGTATACCTATATACTATTAACGCATCGTATACATATTTTATTATCTTTATCTAAGTTATGTGCCCATACCAGACAATATATCACGATGAAATACACGCGAGTGGTATACGATAATAAATACAAATTGCTCATTGGCTCTTGTCCAACTAAGTATAGTGAAAATTTAAGCGTTCGCGAAGTTCAAACTCATTATTAAAACAAAAAGGAACGACGGAGAGCGAATAACAAATCTGGATAAACGAGCTGGTACACGTTTTTAACATAGCTATAATAGATATAATCATTATTCATAATATAACTACCAACGTCATCATATTAAAATATTATTATATTTTTGAATTTTGTATTATATATTTCTACTTCTATAACTATGTATTTCTTTCATTTTTAATGTTGAATATATTTTATAAATTTACTATAAACAATTTCGTTTTCATATATAATGCATTATATATCCAAAACTGGTAAAATCTAAAAGTTGATCTATGTATTATTATAACTTGTTCAATGTTTATCACATTAATGTTAATCTTTCACTAATATTAATTAAAATTGAATAGCAAAAGATTCAATCGGTTTTTACTTTGTTTTATTTATCTAAATCTAAAATAAGCTTTAGTTTTGATTTGATTTTTTGTTTCGTACTTTTCGTATTTTAATTCCTAGTAAATTAGGGTAGGGAAAATTGGTAATTATTTCCTCCCAACCACTCCCCTGAGTAAAATTAGTCTTTTACATCAGGCCAAATGCATAATAAATAACCTAACATAATATCTGTATATCAATGTCATGAGACATTGACGATTGTGGATACTCCGAATGTTAAAGGTAAACAAAACAATATTTGACACAATTTTAATGTGCCATTATTCATACTGTTGTTCTTTTGATAACTATTCAAGTCTTTGTGAACATTATGAGTTAATATTTTCTTTCCACATATCGATTAATGGTAACAAAAAGATACATAATAATGGATTTCAATTATTATTGAAACTGTCCAGTTTTGGACAAACTTTTGCTAAAACCGCCTTTTTGAGCCGTTTTAGGATATTATGAATATTATGAATATTTGGTATATTGGTTACACCACGTAGTTAAGACAGTGTTTGTTGATACCATGTTCTGTATACTTTTACGTTGTGATATGGACTTTGTCGTTTTTCTCGATATTTTTCGTTACCCAAAAGTCAGAATTCAACCCATTTTAGATTCAAAGCGGATTAAGCTTATATTATTTTTAAGTACCTACTTTTATTATAAATCATCGTGATTAATGAATAATATGAACAAAAAAAATACCAGACAATAAAAAAAAAAGGTTTATATCACTAATAAAACAAATGGTCCTTATCAGTACCTGCCTCAATGCCTCATTGAGTAATATAACTCAATGACCTGCCCATTTAAAATAAACAACACAGTTACCTTACTTTATACTTTGATAATTGATTTTTAGCAGCTGTTATTGCTAACTGCAACTACTATTAATTAGGTATACTTAACCAATGCTATTAATAACTGTGACTGGTGTTTACGATAAATTTAAGAAAATGTTAAAATATAATGTATTTTATTATTATGATCACATTAAATCATTAAAACCTAGGTATATATTTTAAAATAGCCATCTCTAATAAGGTATCTGTGTCGTTTATTCCAGGTAGGCAGGTATTGATAACTGATAAAAATCATTTAATTTATTAGTGATATTAACCGTTTTAATTTTTTACTGTCTGGTAAAAAAATACAAATTTAAAGAAATTATTATGGTTTTTATATCCATGGTTTCACACTAGACCGGTGCCCACATTTTATTTTATATAAGTGCTTAACCTGTAAAAAAATTAATATCATAACCGTAGATTATAACAGAACAAATTTCGTTTGATTATTAACACGATTTAAGATATACTTAAGGTAATTATTAGTTAGATAATCTTAGTTCATGGTTATGATATTTCAGTAGCTTATAACCAAAAACCAAAGTAATAACCACGGATTTCCTCGACACGCCCCAAATACTTTCTGAAAAATGTAAATAATTTATTGTCCCGCAATAATTTTTAGGTCTACTGTCCTGGTAATAACCATTAAGGCTGGTTCACACTACACCGTGTCGTGTGGTGTGGTGTTAGTAGTAATCACGAATCTTAATTCGTGGTAACAACCAAAATCGCCAAAACGACTTAATTATAAATTGCAGTAACTAGTTTTCATTTGGTTATTCGCTAAAACACGCCTATGATAGAAGGTAGAAAGCCGCATTACCGTAGCTGGCCTTTCTAGTATAAGCTATGGTTAGAAAATAAGTTTGGACAATTTTCTACATTTTAAATGTAATATTAAATCCATGGTTTTAAACCAGTATAATGTCATAACCTCAAAAAATGTCTGTAGAGCGGTGGCACGGACAATACATTGTATTATAATAATTATAATAATATGTATTAATTATTTTATAATATTATCCGTGGGTTAGAGGAACGATTTAAGATCACAGATTACAGATATCTATAACATAGATATATCTTAAATCGTGGTCAATGGTACAATAAATTTAGAAATTAATTAGCCTCACTACTGATGATATTAAGGTTTAGTTGTCTAACCTTATCTTTTAAAACCGTGGTATAAGGTTTATGATGATAACAGAATAGATGAAATTGATGATACCCCAGAGGAAATCATGATCATAAATTAACTAGTAAATAAATATTAAAAGAACGCTGCCACCGCCGGCTCCGGTGAGTTTCTCAAATTGTTTAGTGTAATCAAATTTGTTTTATTTGTTTTTTGTATTCTGTTTTGATACAATTTTTTTTACAAGAGTATTATACTCGTAATTATTTTGTAATAATATATAATTTAGTAAAATACATCTAAGAAATATGTTAGGGGAATCCGACGAATTTTCGGAAATTCTAAAAACAGGATTTCCAATGTATTTGTTAATCGCCATTCCGTTACTGTTAGTCATGAGCCCGGTGTGTCCGGCGAATGCAGCCCACGAGTTTAACGTCTATCGCGCCCAGCAGTATAGTTTACAAGGCGTCTCTTACGGTACAGTCACACCCTCATTCAAAAAGCAAAATGCTATGTTTATTGAATGACATAGTTTTAATTTTGTTTTGGTTTTTTTTTTTTTTAATGGTCAGGTTCAAAAGGTAGTATTATCAACCTAGAGGCCAGGTCTTTAAAAACTTGGAGCAGTCGATCCAGGCATTGTGTGTTTGTACTGATGGACAATTTCACAATTGAGGAATATAAACAGATATCTGCTGGATCTGGCGCTTTAGTGCTTATTGTGCCACCACCACCATATACCCAAGAACAACGGATTGTGAGATATTATTTTAAAATTATTTCTATGATAAAGTAGGTACCTATTACCTATATAATAATATAAAACATTAAAATTATTGCAAATAAGTATTGATGTATTGTACTAAATTCAATTTAGCACAGTCAAACGTTTGTATCTAAAATCACAATGTAGAAATACCTAACTATACTTAAATGTATTATTTATGTATTTAAATTAACAATTTTCTTTAGATAATGATGGAAATAGAACAAACTATTTTATCGTCTGATACTGTCATACCAATATACGTAATGGATTGGTCTCCAAAAGTTAAAAAATTAATGGACAATTTGGGAGACAGTAAAATAATTGATGAAAACGCCAGTTCAGCTGCCAAAGGTAAATAAATTATAAACCCAATTGTAATGTACATTTTTATTTTTGTTTGTTATATTTTATTTATCTTTAGTACCAATTCCATGTCATATGCAATAAAAAAAATGTTCCTATGCATTATTATAAATATTATTACAAATATTTTGTTTAGCCTTCATTAATTCAGTATCTGCAAATGGTTATCAAATAGTAGTATCGACAAGTAAACCAGTTTTACAACAAAATGTCGCAATATCCACAATTCAGGTATCTAACTCATTTAGAATGTTTATTTGTTTTTGCATTTTACATTATACTTTTACCTATTTTTATTAGGGTCAACTAATTGGATATGGATTTCAAGATAAATTACCTAGTATTTTGATTGTTGCTCATTATGACACTTTTGGTTTGGCGCCAGTAAGCAATAATATAAATATTTCTCTATTTAAATTAAGGTGATTTATAATGTTTTAATAATATAGGAATTATCATATGGTGCTGACAGTAATGGTTCAGGCGCTGCTATACTTTTACTTTTGGCAAAATTATTAAGTAAAGTTTATGCGGAAAAAAATCGACCCAAGTATAATGTTATGTTTATTTTGAGTGGTGGTGGTAAACTTAACTTTTTAGGTTCTAAAAACTGGATTGAACAACAAATGGACAAGTCAAATATATTACAAGTAAAAATATAATATACATTATTTTAAATAATAAGATGTAATTTACATGTCAATAGTGTTTGATGAATACAAACTGTAAATTTTTCAGGATGTGTCATTTGTATTGTGCTTAGATTCTTTGGGCACTAGCAGGAACATTTATGGACATGTGTCTAAACCACCAAAAGATGATAGCAAGATGGGACTTTTTTTGAATGTAATTGTTTTTCTAAATTATAGTTGTACAATATTAATAAATATTTTATTTTTAAAATATTCTAGGAACTCAACAATAATTTAGGAGAAAATGGACTAAAAATGATTCATAAAAAGATAAATTTGGGCAGTGATACCTTAGCTTGGGAACATGAAAGATATAGTATAAGAAGATTACCCGCGTTCACTTTATCCAACTATAAAGTATAAAATTTATAATTTTAGTTGATATCAAAACTATTGAGTTTATATTTTGCTTTTTAATAGAGTCACAAAAATAATTCTAGACGAACAATATTGGATAAAATCGAAAGATTAGATCCAAAATTTATGTTTCGTAATGCTCAGATCATAGCTAAGACTTTGGTATCTCACTTGTATGATTACAATACTTCTGAAACGCCCAAAATAGTAAGTATTCAATAATTAACATCAATTCATATTTTGTATTATTAGGGGTTTTTTTTATCTTTGGAAAACATATCTTTTGAGCAGTGTATAAAATATTTCACTGATAAATTGTATACAATTTAAAATAAATGGTATTATAGTGATATAATTTTTTAAATTACCATTGAGTCATTTGACAATAACTCTGAAAAATTATGAAAGCTGGAATAATACAAAGCTAAAAAATTAATCAAGTGGTTTGATTTTATTTCTGTGCTTATTTTGGAATTCTTTTATCGCAACCAGTCAATTATTTTTTCTTTTTTAAATAATTAAAACACAATCTAAGGTACAAATATAATTTTTTATTTATTATTATTACATTGAGAATTTTGACTGAAGAATAATAAACAATACAAACAATTTTTATTTTTTTTTATTTTAGAATATTGATTTTGAGACATTGAGGAGTTCATTGGATTTATTAGTGTTAACTCCTAGATCGACCCAAATAATGACACTTAAAAACAACCCTCTGCTTAATAATTTATTATTGGCAATGAACAAATATTTAAAAGATGTTAATGTGTCACATCTATTGGCAGATAAAGTTGATCCACAATTTTCATTCTTTACAGTTACCAGTGCGACTTTACAAGTGTACAAGTTAGTAAAATTTGTATATTTTAAGGTTAATGTTTTCAAATGATAAATAATTGTTTTCATAATGTTATATTCACTATTATTATATATGCAATTTTCAGTGTTAAACCGGCAGTGTTTGATCTCATTCTAACTCTTGCAATAGCTTTATACTTGGCTATAGTCTACTTATTTATTCAGGTAAAATATACATACAATAAATTATTTATCTGCCATAAGTTTACAGTATTTTTTTTTAATTTTTAATTTTTTGATTTTAGTTGGTACCAATTGTATATGATTTATATATTGGTACTATTAGACCAGAACCTGTGGTTAGTGTACCAAAGAAAAGTAACCGTAAAGATAAGCATCGATAAATATTAATTTTATGTTTGTGTTTTATTATTTTGCTCAAGGCACATTTATTGTAGTCAACTCAAAGTAAATGTAATATTATTTAAAATCATTTTTTTTAATTTATTTAGTTATTTTATTAACATTAGTACAATAAAATAATATTACGGTAAATGTTTAATAAGGCTTCATGTTAGTGAATTGTTTCAGTATCATTGTAATTACTAATTTAGTTTAGTCTTTTACAAATGAATTCCCAATGCTTACTTTATTATATTCTAATTTTGACTGATTAGAGTATTGATTAAAAAAAAAATATTTTATATTATTACTTATACTTCAAATTGTATATATTAAGACTTGTTACACTGCCTGTGTTTGCTCATTTTTGAGACAAATCACTTAAAAATATGTCAAAGTTAGAATTCTAAAGTATAGCAATAAGTCATTTGTAATACTATCGGGAACATTGTATGATTTTTATTAGAATGAAAATGTGTTAAAATGTGTGAATTGCTTGTCAGTAAAATTTCTTTTTTAACTGTGCATTATTGATTGATGTTTGAAATTTACCTAATCTTTGTTATGTCAAAGATTTTGTCCATAAAAAAACAATTTGTTTCATTTTTAAATTGTGTTTTGTTATCAGTAATTGAAAATGTATTTGTTTGTGAATAAAATATAAAAATTGAAGGTAAACTTTAAAAAAGGCATTAAAATTAACATTTAATGTATTTATTTATCTTTTTAAAGAAACGGTGTGTCTAAATTGTATCAAATTGGCAATAAATAATACAAAGATAAATTTACAGAACATTGTTATTATTGTTTTTTTTTTTTTTTTAAACATTATGTACATCAACAATACATTTAAATAATTCTGTTCTATACTGATTATTAACAATTTACTTAAAAAGAGTATCAAATAATAAAGCCATAAGTAGAATATGAATCAAAATATAATATTTTAAATTTTTTAATTGATTTATTTTTAGGTTTTTAGATTAAATTTAGGTTCACAATCAATCAATTGATCAATTGGAAATTTTTACTCTGTGTGCACACAATATGCAACAGAGATCTGGCAAATACAAACTTGTTCTATTATGAATCAATTAAATGGTTAATTACATATAGGAAGTGAATTTGAGAAAATCTATTCATTTCAATTGTGTTATTAAATGTATAGATTTAAATGATATATATTCAAACTGGTATTTGACGAATTTTAAAACAATAATTTTTGATTATTTAACATGCAAACAAACTCACACTAAATATATTTTAAAAATTCAATAAATATTAACAGTATTTTTTTTTTTTTTTTTTTTTTTTTTTTGTACAGTAAACAAAAACTTATATTAAAATATTAAAAAGCACAACAGTGTTTTACATTCCACACATTAAAAATACACACAAATTCTAATTTAAGTTTTTTTTTTTTTTCATTTAATTTAATGTAAAAATATAAAATTGCTGTCATTTATTTGTGCAAGCCAAACTCAAATTATAGGTAAATAAAAAAAATTAAACTTATGATAAAATAATAAAATGTAAATAAATTCAAATTGTATAATATTTATGAAAACTCGTATTTGTATTCTGTAATAATGGTAATAGCAATAAAATTTAAATAGTTTTAATCTTTGGTGATAAAAAAATACAAGAAATATTTTATTTTTTTTATATATATATATATAAATTTTAATGGTAACCATTTAAGTGTAAAGCATTTTATGTTCTTTTGTACTTAAAAGAAAAAAAAATTGTTTATTAAGTACCATTAAGCCAGATCTCCATGAACCCTAAACCGATACAAACATGTATACTCTTCATGTCCGTGGTTGGATTCAATTCGCAATTCTACAACTGAAAATATATTGTTGGTTTCCTGGAAAGAAAAGAAAATTTTTTTTTAAATTTTTGATACAATTAAATTAAAAAGATTTGTGTTTACCATGGTAGGAAAATACTGTAAGCTTGGTCCATCTGTTTGAAACTGATATTTACCCAATAATTTACCATCAGGGTCTGTTTCATGCTTTAGTCCCTAAAAATAATTAAATAATGTAAATATTTAGTTTACTAAACTATAAATGTTTAAAATACTGACCCAAATACTAAAATCTTTCGGAGCAGATCTAATATTGCCGTTTTCTGAAAGCAATTTTGGTAAATGTTCTATTGTAAAACCGGTTACGTGTATGGTTTTAGATAGTTTCAATACTAAAAATCCTTTAGCGCCAATGAATGCCCAACATTGTCCGGGGTTAACACCAGGCTAAAATAAATTAACAGAAGGCAGTTAATGTTTTTAAATCGCAAGTTAATATGAAAAATTAATGTTAAATTTGAAAAAATATTAATTAAAACTGTTTTATTTCATACAATTTTAAATATATCTCTGTATATTAATTTTTTTGACAATTTTACTTAATTTTAAAACTACAACTCTTAGAATTTTTAAAAAACTATAATATTATATTAATACTATACAGTTTATATTTTTCAGAAATAACATAATATCACAATATCTATTAAATGGTATTCATGACCTATAGCAATAAAATGGTATCTATTGAATTTGGCATTAAATACTGTAATTATTATAAAGAGTTGGAAAAATATTAAATTAAATATTATTAACACAAGTAGTTTATTATTTTAGACAGAATCACATTAAAATTATGCAAAATACTTTATTAACAGCAAATACCTGTATGGCTAATCTAGGACCATTCGATAAAAACCACAAAGGCATCCCAAACATAGTTAAGGCTGCCGTCGAGGGCTTAGTTTGAGTACAACGAGTCCCAAGCACTGTACCACCTTAAAATCATTGTAAATTGAATGATTATTAATCATAGTAATAGTTTAAGTAATTCAAGTATAAGATAAAATATTTTAATATATTACCAGCAGATTCTAAAGCATAGTCAACCATTCCAGTTTTATCGGCATCATAAATATTCAATTTTGATTTAACAGTTGTATTAACATACTGCTCAATATAATTAACAATTGAATGCCAATCATTTTTAAAACACACTTCTTTTAAGGCTGATTCAGTATTTGTTTTTAAATTTGCTGATTGAAAAAATAATAAATTTTAAATACATCTATAAATAAAATATTTAAAAATAACCCACTTGATTCGGATTTATAGGTTTCAAAGCTATTAATTAAATTTGAAACAATATTTTGCAAATCTGAAATTTTTTTCTCCATTAATTTAATGGTTTCTTTTTCTTGAACAGTCTTTTCGTCATTATCAACATTTTTCAGTGTAAATTTTTCATCTTTAAGATTATCCTATTAAGATTAAATACATTTTATAAATTTTAAATGTAGTTCAAATTTTGAATAATTTTTAAACCTCTGAGTTACTAAAAATTAAAAACTAATACATATTTAAATATTTTTAAATAAATATAATTAATTTACATTAAGCCAATTTAAGCTATTTGAGTTCATTTCTTGTAAGTGGTGTTTTAATAATTGCTGAAATTCTTGATCATGTAATTTTACTAAATCTGTTTGTGAAATATTTAACTGATTCATGAGTATTCGCTGGAATTCTTCTGAAGCAATAACTTTGCTTGCCAACAAATTATAATCAAAAGGTAAAAATCTTGTATTTTGATTCATTGGAATAGTACTAACATGAGTTGAAGATCCCAACGCAGAGTCAAAATTGCGAAGTGCCTAAAAAAAAAAAAAAAACTTAAATTACAAACTTTAAATCCTCAATTCTTTTAATTTACAAGAATATATCCAATATCCAACAAATAATTTACAATATTAACATTTTTAAAGTTAATGTTCTTTTATTAATTTTGAGGAAATTGCCATTACATAATTCTTTAAATATGGGAGATTCATGTCCTTAGAACTATTTATATGCTGATGATAAGTATATGCGCTAGAGACAAGTAGTCTTCTTTGTTAATGTCACCTATATGCTTTTAATAGTATAAAATAAATAAGTATATTTTGGAAACTTCTGTTTTAAATCAGTGTTACAAATTTAAAAATGATATTTTATTTTATGAGTATTTATTTTGTAGTATATTAATAAATTAATAATTTTCATTTGTAAATATTTATTTTAAGTTTCGAATAAAATAATTTTTTTTTTATTCAGCATAGTTATATAAAAAAATAATTATGTAACATTAAAAAGGCTAATACTTACATTTAAAAATAATTGTATAGCAATTATTGATGAAGTGATTGCCACAGCTATTAAATCAAATACAAAATACAAGGTAGACCAAATGATTTGATAAATTGATGTTATCAAATTAAGTATACTAATAAATGGCGATATAAGAAAATTTGTCCAAGAACCTTGCCACCCTAGAGGCAAATTTAGAGGTGTAGTGTACTCAAAGAACTCGTCTATAAAATACAAAACATTAATAATGTTTTACAATTTTAATAAATCATGAACTATTTTAATAGTTTATTATACTTACAAATTAAAAATAATATCAGTGACACAAATAATAGAGACATCAGTAAATATTTTACTCGAATATGCCCAAAAAGACGATCAATAATATTTCTTATAGTTGTCATGATTATCAAATCATAATGAACCATACTAATAGAAGCCAAATGCACCAAATCGGTTATTTTTTGAATAGTGGTATTAATTATGTTTAATCCAATTTCTATAATTATATTTAAAAATAAAATATATATAGATATAAGTATATGGGTTTAATTTGTATTCATAGTTATGGTATACTGTGGATATTTGTGTAAAATTGTGTTTAAAAATAAAAATAGGTACATATTCTTAAATATATCAACAATAAATAAATAAATTTGATTCAATTGAAAATCAATTGAGAATGGTTTACTAAGAAAACAAAATTGTTTTTTGCTACTCTTACTTAAAATTATGGTTTTGATATTTTAATTAATTACATAGACCTAATCATTAGTTAGAGGTAGTTAAGATTTGTTTGAAGTAAATTATTTTTTAGAAAAATGTTATTTAGTTGAAAAATTAATTTTCCTTATTTAGCCCAAACAATATTTAAGTACTAATTTGTTTATCAAAAATTAAAATGTTTAGCATACAACAGAACTTTATTTAACTGTTAAACAAACACTTGAAAATTGCATTACCTACACATTATGTACAATGTATTATTAATAACCAATTGATTGTAAAAATCATAAAACTGTTACATTATTATTAAAACAATATAAATAAATAAATAAATAAATATATATATATATATATATACATATGTTGTAACCACTTAATGGAATTGTGCATTTTATGAAAAGTTATACAGTACATGCAATTGAGATCATATCTTAGTGATATAATTCAAAATTTCATCAAGTGGATATCTTTTACAAGATAGATACTAAAATCTGATATTGAGCATTTCTTTTCAAATTAATAACCTTCTTTTTGATTAAATAAATATTTAGTCTATTATAGATATTATTTTTAACAATTTTGGAATATGTTATAATAACAACAAAGGTAGATAGATAGGTAATATATAATAGTAATAATTTATTTGTTTAAACAATTATTTTAACTGTGACGAATATAACATTTAATTTTACCATTGAAATATGCATAACAGCTTAAATCACATTTTTTTTTACATGAATAACTCAAATATCCTTGCCCCCGATAAAGCAGCAACTATTTTATGAAATGTTGTTACTTTAGTAGTTTTTACTCGATCAACTGTACTACGATTTGTTGTGGTCAGTTGTGAATTTCTTGATCCAAATTATAAGTTCCTATAAGATTCATGATTACTTGGTATCTTTTTCTTGTTGTTTTTTTTTAAATCGGATATTTCTTCTTTGCTACTGACAACACATCATTATATTTCTGTAGTAAATAGTAATCACGTCTTTTCTTTTAGATTCTGAATGTTGCAAGGAATGTATTAGTTTTTGAATGATGTTTTTTTTATTTTATTTTTTCTGAGGACAACTTTTCTAACAGCAATTTTGCTCCGATTTACTATGATAGCACTTTTTTTGAAAGGAAATCTAATTGGGATAGTACTTAAGGAAGGTTATTTTTTGATTTTCACAGTTTACCCAATACATGGGAGAATAGGTACAGTATCAAACAAATATTATTAAAGAAAATGTTTAGTACATATGTAATTAATTTACCATAATACGACATATATATTGTTGATAAAGTAACAATCAAACTCTGATCAGAATCCTTTTTTTCGTTAACAATGATTAAACATCGCATACAAATATACAGTAAACTCCAATCAATATCCTACCTTTCCAACTTCCCACCTACAACAGTGGCTGCATCCGTACCCATTATCATAAGATACTTTTTTATTCTTATAAATACACTGTATAATATTAAGTTTCTTAAATATGTATTTTAACATTTATAATCTCTTGTATAATTCTTTTGATGTTCATACAAGTGTGTGGTTATTTTTTTAACTTGTTTTCATAATATACAAATTATTTTTAAAATGTAGTTTTTGCGCCAAATTCTATTTTATAAACACAATTGTCTATACATTGTTACACTTTTTTTACTTGGCTATACTATACAGATTGCAATCACAAAATCATACAATATATATACTGAAGTCATGTACACTAGAATAGGTATTGATAATATTTTTCAAAAATACAGGTATAGATAGTAGTGTATTTTCAATATTTTATGGAAATTATATTGGTGGATGGAAGGATTGGTCTTGATGCCCAGATCACTCTAAATTCATCACTGAATACAGAAATAAAATCAAAAACACAACAAATGAAACAAAAATATTACCTACCTACCTTAATTAGAATAATAACATATTCCAAATTGTTCACAAATATATCTTTGTTAAAGATTAAAAATTTTGTTTTAGAATTTGATTAAAAAAATATACAATATCAAAATTTAGTATTCATATAAAATTTTTTTTAAATAATTTACTAAGTGAAAAAAAAATAGTTTCCATTCATTAACCAGATTTCTATTCGTGATATTAGATATACATATATATTTATTTTAAATAAAAGTATTGTTAACCAAAATTATTTATGGGTACTTGTTAATTTTGAAAAACAAATTCACTAATCACCTACATACTACAAATACATAATCTATAAACTAATAAATATAAATTAATTCAATAATTTTTATAACTTACCCATTATTGACTTGTGTACTTTTGTTAAAGTAAAAATAGAAATAAAATAAAAAGTTATATATTCAATAAATATTGTAATTGACTGGTACACGTGTTTTATAATTTTTGAAGTCTTGCTTTGAGTATAACTTAATGATTCTTCAGTTTCGTTGTGATTTCTTACACTATAATTTTTAATTGTTGTAGAAGTAAATAAATGCTTTTCTGCAAAAATAAAAAATATTTTTAAATTTATTTGAATTTTGATATTTAATAGTGTAAATAATGAATACAAACTAATATGACTAGAGGTAAAGATATTATCTGATTGACTTTTCAAACTCCAAGAAGAATCATGCTTCATAGGAGTTTTCTCATAAGATTTGAGGGGTAATCTGGACATATTTGGTATAAAAGGTATGCCAGGAGATACTTCATACTTATAGTATTTGGATACCGGTGAATAGGTATTATCAGTTTTGGGCAATGTTCTATATGAAAAAAAAAAAATTTTAAAAATGTAATTAATTAATAAATAATTGTCACTATTACTCTTGCCATCCGTCAAAATTATTATAAAATTTGACTATTTCTTCAGAACTTTTGTTTAGGCCAGATGAAGGCCTTATAGTAATATTTAAATCTTCAGTCATGTAGTTTATGAGTTATTACAAGTGTACCAATGAACAATACCTAAACATATAAAGCACTCAAATTAAATTGAAGTATTGCAATATTTTATTACCAAATTGACTTTCACCGTAGTCGTCAAATAATATAAAACTATGTAATACACAACAACTTTCATCTTGTAGTTTATTTTTTAAGTAAAGACTAATTTATATCAATATTGAACTCAAAATACATAATATTATACAAAACCAACTACATAATGAGTAACAATTTAGCTGTTCAAACAGTTAGATATACACAACAAAATTAAAACAAATTTATGGTGTATAGTTTTAAAATAAATTGTTATTGTTTCGTCCATGGTAATTAAATTGATTTTAATTAAATTAAAAAAAAAAATAAACCATTCATCTCCATAAGGGTTCACGATAATAGTAACTAATTTATTTTCACCATTTATTTGGATTGAATAACAGTGTATCATTACATACCTGTAAAATATATTGAAATCGCACATGAAAACCATTGAATTTTCTTAAATAGATTTTTGATGTATTGTTTAATATTAATAGCTTTTCACAGTAATTACATTAAAAAAACATAGTAATAAAGTTTTAAATTCAAATTGTTTTGTGAGAAATTTGTGATTACAATTTCGGTTAGATAAGAAATGAAGAAAACAACATAATTTTGTTTCATAATAATAGTAACTGCTTATTGGATCATGCCTAGTAGTTATGATAAGACCTCTTTGCACTATGTTTAAATAGATATAATGAACATTTTTTCCATAGTTATTATTTGTCTTACTATAAGGCACTGTGATGTAGTTCTTCTCTACATCGTGCCACCGAATTGTACTAATAGAAAAAGTTTAACCTTCTAGGTAACTACCCAATAACTTCGAAAAAGTTTTTTAAACTAAAATTAATTAAATGACATAATAATAATACACTCAAAATTAATTTTTAATGTACAAGTAGCAGTAGGTGATTACTATTACTATTACTATCATTATTTACTAAAATGTAATATATAAATCGGTACTTCCATAAAATGTACCTATAACTATTTATTATTTATGCGATTATATTATGAATTAAAATTACATATTTTGCTTATTAATAATTATAATACTATAATAAGCGCATTTTTATCCTAATAAAATGATCGTGTAGAATACCTATCAAACTGGCATTATTTTTATTTATTTGCTGAAAAATAATTGACACAACATTTTTATAATTAGTGAGTGTAATATGTAGTCGTGTAGGTATTAAAAGTTAGAAGAGTAGAAGATGTATTCCTTATAATTAAGTACCTACCTACCATAGGCCTATTAACCTATGTCGATACTAACTACTGTGGTTACGGCAGCACAGATTAATCAAAACAATAAACATATTAATTTGATATTTCAGAATAAATTTCAAACTAAACCAGAAAAAAGAATGAACAGCTATCGAAAAATTCATATGTACACTTTATTTGTGCGAATATTACTAATATTTAATAAGTACAATTTTTTTTAATTTTTGACAAAAAAATCATTTTTTTCCTACGTAGTACGTATTATAACGAATTGTTTATTAGTATTACTTTAAGTCACTATGTAACCTATTGGATGAACACGAAATTTAGATGAGAGAATAAAATTTAACATGAGTGTAAAGAGACCAAGGGACTGTTATGATAAGAAATAAGTGTTGCGTAAATCAAATTGTCTATACACCAGAAAATAAGGAGTAATGTGTAATCCAAAAAAAAAACCAATAGCCGTAAATTTAATGCTAGATGGAGGGGATGTGTCTCATAAATATATTATGCATTATTCTATAATGAAACAATGTTTATAGCAGTTATATTCAGAAAGTTAAAATTACTCAACACAATTTAAAGAAGCTCATGAAAACTCCTAGGTAAATTGAAAAATAATAACCTTCCTAAAGTATCTCCTCTCACTGATTTTCCATCAGAAAAAATGCTACATTTAAAAATCGCAGCAACTTCACGATATAAGTACATTTTAAACACTGTGTTGTATATTATAAATTATGTAAGTTCAATACAAGTTTGTATTTAATTTATCCATTTTTATTATACATTTAGCTAGAATATTAATTATAGTCATCCATAATATCAACAAATAAAGCTATATTCATAATTATTACTACGAATAGAGATTATTACAAAAAAACTCAGAAGTCAATAGGTACTCAATATAATATAATCAAAAGTAGGGTTAGATTAGGCTACATCTTTCCTGATCGAGCAGTTTTAATAAATTCCATTAAGTAGCGATTCTTTCGCTTTTAATCGCGAATTCGTGATCTGTACCTAAAGTTTAATCATTTCTAACGAAAACCAATTCTGAGAAAAGTTTGATTACATTTGGTTTGAAAAGCCGTAATATTTATGATTATAAAATGGTAAATTTTCTTGTTTCACTAAGTTTTTCCCTCAGAATTTAAAACCTTATTTAGTTAATTGTTTATTGTTAACAGTGAGAAAATAATAAAACAATCTCATTAACCTTTTTTTTTTTTGATCCAATGTTTTTGCGATTTTTATCAACAATAAATACCACAATTTATGGCATACAGTATACACAATACGTAGTATTGTTAATTAACAGTTTTCTATTTTATTAAGAATTAAGATATCTAATTCGAGGTACTGAAATACTGAATACAATTTCAAATAACTCAACTTCACGTAATTACATTATACTTGCTATAAGTTTATAGTAGTGTCATAGTTTTCGTTTTATTATTTTTTGATAATAGTTAAGTATTTGGCATAGTTTTTGATACATCTGTCTATCTATAGATTATAAGTTTATACTCTAAAATCGTGGTTTTTTGTGTGACATAAATATATTACGTAAAATATATTAAATATAAAATATTTTAAATGGGTACATGGCTACTACAGCATTCAAGCAAGATCCAAGATTCCGAGTTCCAAGAAGCACTCTGATCAAATACTTTGACTGGGTAGAGATGATCAATATGACAGTACAGACATTAAAAATATCGTCAAAAATCAAAAAAATGACTTCTCTAAAGTATAATCTAGACAACTTGAGCTATCTGAAAAAATGCTACACTTATACATCGGGATAAGTTTATTAGGAAAAAACGTGTCCTTAAACTAGAAAAAAAAAAAACAAAAAAAAACAGCATTGTAAAACAAATAGCTCCCTCACTACGGTCGGAATTTAAAACTACAAATGTTTAATATTACAATATTTTATCACATAATATTATTTACTTGTTAAGTCTATGATATTTCATACATCGCGCGAACAAAAATTTTGGTGACACCAACATAATCGAAAAAGATAATTTTAAATGTAATTTAGCTTATTTCGTTTGGTTGGTTTGACACACTGATATTACCGACGTACACGCTCCGCCTATTCACGCGTCGATTTCATTTCTCTGTTTCACAAAATGTGTCTTTTTCGTTGATATTTTTTACGTTTATAGTTTTTTTGGTTTAATAATATTTATTGAACTGAACGACCAATAACTGTGAGTATTATTAAAACTTAGTTTATGAATTGTTAATTTGTTAACCGTTGGGATGTTATTAAAAGCATTGTGGCTGTTTAATTACTTTTAAATCGTGTACATGGTTTCATAACATGTCAATTTGGTCACATGTAATGCGGCATATTTAATAAATTCTAATTAGATTTTCACTAATACAGGAATTGTGTGTAAAATCGGTACATACGTTTATCTTAATTTAAAATTTTGTTAAATAAATTCTATCATCACTTTAAATGTCAACAATAATGAATTTTGTTGAATACCTATATTATTGTTATAGGTTATGTTTGTAATTCGTGTCCATTTCTTAAAACTACTAAAATACCACTTATTACTACTTATATTACTTTTAATTTGTAGTTTTTGAATTTTGTGAGGTAATATATTTGCAAGCCTAACTCCAATTAAATATTCACGTTTCTTTTATCTATTTGTAAAACTAGTAAAAAATTAATTTAAATTACACTTTGTTTATTAAATAATTTTATAATTCTATACTTTTAAATTAATCAATGCATGTCTTTAGATCACAACATGTCGGGTGGACTAGACGTATTGGGATTGAAAGAAGACGATGTCACCAAAATGTTGGCTGCCACCACACATTTAGGAGCGGAAAATGTTAACTTCCAAATGGAGCAATATGTATACAAGAGAAACAGCCGCGGTACGTAAATCACTCATATAATATTGCCTACTAAGCGTTAGATTTATTAAAATTTTTATTTCAGGATTAAACATTTTCAACTTGAACAAAACTTGGGAAAAATTGTTGTTAGCGGCAAGAGCTATCGTAGCTGTTGAACATCCATCAGAAATTTTTGTTATTTCGTCTCGACCATATGGACAACGTGCTGTTTTGAAATTTGCAGCATATACTGGGGCAACGCCAATTGCTGGACGTTTCACTCCTGGTGCATTCACTAATCAGATACAAGTGAGTTGTGAATTTTTATTGTTTAATAGTTATATAACTTTTAAGTTGTTTTTGTATGCTCCAATTTGAATTATTTGTGCCTGATAACTTTTATATACATGGTATTAAATGTAATTTTTCTTTTCCAATACATAACAAATAATTGTGGTTAAAATTACACTTGTTCGTAATTTTTTATTTTTTTTTTCTGAGCAAGCTCAGTGGGGCATATTGAATAAAATTGAAGAAGTCAAAATATCTGAAAACGTGTGCTGTTTCTTTGCTCAATCGTTTAAGAATGCTATAATTTTATAATTATTAAATATCTGATTGGGTTTTCACATAAAAATTAACCCAAAATATTTGTGTAATGGCACATAATATATTTTAATTATTAAATTAACTGTTTTGCTTTTGTACAAGTTAATTTTCCTTTGGAACAAATTTATTATGTATTTGGATTATTTATATTTATTATTATGCTTTAAGGATAGGTATAAATTAATTTTATTTTACTCTCCCTATATTTAATAAATAGCGTAAATTTCTAAATTTAACATTCATTACACAATGTAAAGTATTACTTCAAACAATTAACGCTAACAGCATTTTAAGTTTATTTGTGAAAAAGTTAAACAAATATTATGATTAATACACTTCAGTTAATCTAATATATAATGATTGATAAGTTGTACTCTGATAAATATAATTTTAATAAATATTTAGGTACTTATTTAATGATGATCAATACACCCCAGTCAATCTGATGTATTATGATTGATAAGTTGTACTCTGATAAATATAATTTTAATTTTAATAAATATTTAGGTACTTATTTAATGATGATCAATACACCCCAGTCAATCTGACACTATTGATTGATGATATCTTTTTGTTATTCTGATAAATGTAAATATTATTTACATTGACGATAATTTATGATATTACATCACATTGAATTGGTTGTTTTTTTCTTTTCGAAATCTGAGTATAAGAGGAAACATATGACTGTCTATCCTACTAGATTGCCAAGCTTTGTTCAGAATCTTTTTACAATACAATCTTTTGATTGTAATGATTTATCAAAAAAAAAAAAAACAAATTATGTTATTAATTAATACTAGTTATACTTCAATATATTTATCAATTTATCGTGTATCAAATAAAAAAATTTGATTATACGTTGAAAAATAACCAAGATATGATTATCTATGTCATATGTTCTATTATACTTCCAATAATATTTAAATGATGATCAACATATCCCAGGCAATCTGACACTGTGATTGATGATTTCTTTGTGTTCTAATTAATGTAAATATTTAAATACAGTTTATAGAAAATTATGTATTTTAATTTTAATCAATGTAGGAATTACTTTTATGTAGACCTTAGAAGAACATTATAGTGAATATAAGAATACTGTTCAAATGCTTTTAAATAATACTTTTATGATGACTATACACCCCAGTCAATCTGAAAATAAATGATTGATCAATTTTGTGTACTGATAATGTTCAAAGCAGCAGTAATATCAAATTATTTGAACAAAATTTCAAAACCAAATTAAACTTTTAGGCTGCTTTCCGCGAACCCAGACTTCTTGTTGTAACTGATCCAGCTACAGATCATCAGCCAATCACTGAAGCTTCTTATGTAAACATACCAGTTATTGCTTTATGTAATGCTGATACACCATTGAGATATGTTGATATTGCTATTCCATGTAATAACAAGGTAATATTTAAGAAATACATTTTTTTTTTTTTAATAACAAAACTAAAACCTTCATAAATATTATTTACAGTCTCCTCATTCTATTGGACTAATGTGGTGGTTCTTGGCTCGTGAAGTTCTTCGTCTTAGAGGAACTATTCCTCGTGATGGTAAATGGGATGTTGTTGTAGATTTGTTCTTCTACAGAGACCCCGAAGATGTATGTGTTTATATATTGACATCTTAATTGTTATTAAATAGAAGCTTAAACATGAATATTATTTCAGGTTGAGAAAGAAGAAGCTGCCGCTAAGGAAGCATTGCCTGCAGCTTCAACTGTTAAGCCAATTGTTTCTGGAGAAGATTATGCGTCGGTGAACACAGCTGCTGACTGGAATGAGGGTGTTGTAGCAGCCACTGCTCCACCAAACTGGGCAGATGATGGAAATGCTGAACCATTAGCGACAGCAGCTCCAGCTGCTAATATTGATAGAACGGTAAGTATTTTATTTTTTCATTTTTAAATAACAATGTTTTGTATAATGTATTTCACTGTTTTTTTTTTTAGGCGGTTGAAGAATGGAATGCTGCGCCGGCCACTGGTGCAGCCAATACCAATTGGGGAGGTGGTTCTGCACCTAATTGGTCAAATATGTAAAATAATTTATTTTCTTAAAGAATAAAAACTGATCTTTTGGAATTTTGAATTATTAAATATTTTCAACTAGAAAACCTTAAATTCCTTTTCAAATTTGTCTCATTTCCCATGAAAAAATATGTATTTTGTGAAGTATTTAAAGTAGAAAAACTGAAAAATTTCAATTTAGTGGTTTTCTATAAATTATTTAAATCTCTTGGTTCAAAGTAAATAAACAAATTGATCTTAAAATGGTGTAAAACTAGTATTGTTTATGTTCTTAAATATTTTTTAAAAAAAAGTTCTCCCAGTGACATCAATAATTTTTTTTTTTAATTTTGTGTTATAATTATACATTGAACATTTTTTTACTATTTTACAGCGCTAATTATATAAAAGTGGATATATTTACTTTTTTAAAAATTATAAGTGTTTATTCATTTTTTGTTTTGATGTTCCAGCAAGTTCATTTATATCCACATTGATATTGCGATTAATATATTTTGGTAAGGCCTAAACCATTTAAACGTATTGTTCCAAAGAATTTCTCAAATATGTTTCCAAATGACGGAAAGTTGGATAAATCATTCTCCCATGGCAATAGACACTGAAACTGTTATGAATATATGAAGTATTTTAGATATTATTGGATAAACATCTGGAGTAGTTTGGAAGTATACTTCAATAGTATTTTTGTTGAGTTCGGTAGATGCTAAATTTGAATACTTAATGTACTACGAATCTAATTCTATGTTATAATATATGATCATTCAAATTTGAATCTTTACATTCATTAATTATATCTTGATATGTTTCTACTAATTGTTTGAATTTACCTTTAATATTTTTAGATATTTTCATTTCTATTTTGGGTAAAATACAATCAAAATTATGCTTAACAATTATGTGTGATGTAAATCTCGTTCAATTGGTCTAAACAGTTATCTATAAAAGATATGAATACTTAAAATAAAATATTCTGGATCATCTGATTTAGATTAACATGACAAACTAACAGTAATATTAAATTTTTCACAGACGTTATAAGGGATAAAAATAATTGTTGAAACTACATCATAATTTTCTCTAATACTCAGAATATTATTTTGAACATTAAAAACTTCTAATACAGTTTTTAAATCAAGATTTACTATTTGAAGCTCTTGGTCAAGTGGAAAACTTATAGATAATATTTTTACTAAAATAGATAAAGCTGTTTGAAGTTTATACTTTTTTATCGCACTAAGATAATTACTTGCAGAACTAGAAATGTTAGAATCTATCCAATCTGTAAGTTTATCTAGTGCGTGTAAAATGGTTGGTTGAAGTTCTTCAAATAATATAACTGCATCATGGCAATCAACCCATTGAGTTGCGCACATATTTTTTAATTTATAATGATTAGTCTATGGATATACTTTTGCTATTGACAATTACAATTTACTTTGTCTTTTTGGTTAACCGAGAGTGGTAGCTGATAACCATAGAGCTATATACACTATATACACACTACATTAGAATGGACTTGTATATGATAAATTTGTATTATTTGTGTAAACTATTAAGTATAATAACACTTCAAACTATTAGTAATTTTTTTTATTTCGGGAGGGGAAGGGGTCGAACCCTCCCACCCGGATACGCTACTGGAATTGAGTAACATTGAACAATACCTATTTTTTTAAATCTATTATTCTTATCTTATGAGTATATGTCTGTAATATATATTTTTACATAAAAAACTATCTTTTTGTTAAAAATGACAATATTAAACCTTGTCCAATTTATACTTTCCATAATTAATTATATTTATTATTCATCATTGTTATATTGAAATGTATGTATTTATTTTAGAGATATTATATTCAGTTATCTGATTGGATTTTTATTTTTAAAGATTTTAAAGAGGTGTAACAATATTACTTCAAATATAAGGATTTAATGTACCAAAGAAAAAAGTCGGACAATTTTAAACTAACGAGGTAATAAGTGTAGAAGTTGAACATTTAAAAATATGGCATCAAAACAATAATTTTTTTAAGTAATGAATTGATTTTTTTATTTGCTCAATCAAGTAACAATGAAGTATCTTATTCAAAAAATCCAAATCGAGTTATCAAGTATTAAAAAGGTTTTGCCCTGTGTCTCGCAATGGTAAATGGTGTAGTTAACTATAATAACAAAAAAGAAATGCTGTCGGCAGCTTTCGGGTTGGCAACACCAGCCGGCTGAACCATTGCCATTGGTATCCTACTGTTTGGTCGTCCGTGTACTTGTCCGTCCGACGAATGTTTACCGCGTGACACGTTAACCTCTAATCGGTGACGACCTACTCTACCGTGACCGCGGTCACTACCATAGATAAAATTCGGGTATTGCACAAATGGGCGACAGTTTCCCCGAACGTCAATTCGATTTCGTTTGATTCCTTCTCGAATATCGTTCGGCATACCGAATATCTCTTTGCCGCGCTATAGCAGCTCTCCCGTATTCATAAGCATACAATTATTATTTTGGTATAATTATTATTTTGCCCAAAGTGACGCACCACGCGCCCGCACGTACCGTAACCATCCCGATAGCGTATACGAACAGCCGCACTCGTGGACGGTGCCCCGCGCGTTGCGCCTCACATTCGTTCAGACCGTAGCACCTAACGTACGTTGTTCTACAGTACTACACTACCACAGATCGACCATCACTGTTCACACGAAAGTTGCCGTTCTGTGTTTTGTATACATTAGTAATAATAGTATTATACAACTTTCATAGGATTCACTAATATTGTTATTATTATTATTCCGTAATACGATCAGGTATGTAAAATTAGATTTTTTTTTTTAAATTTACCTGCCTATGATATAAGTACTCGCTTGTTTTTTTTTTTTTTTATTTTGCTTCGAAGGGTTAGGTTAATTACGAATGTCTTCGCCACGGCCGAGCCATGTGCTCTACGTACTAAGTCGGTCGATGCAAGGACGTACTAATAACGCGACCGCGGAGAACTTTAGCTAAATTACCAAAAATTACTTCAATGCAATTTTTATTGGAAGTGAGAATAGAATTGTTAAAGGCTCCGCCCGTATAATTCCTTCGTCCTGTTACGCAATAATTTGATAACCCGGGGGCGTTTTTTTTGATATTCCCGGGAGATGCATAAATATTACCTAATGAAATATTATTTTACCAATCCTTGAGTATACTGATTTTACCCACAAGTAATTCATTCTGTGAACAAATTAAATTACATTTTATGCACTGCTATTATTTTCATTCTAAGATTAAGGACCTCGACGATTATTATCAGACATTCTTTTAAAAATCTAAATTATTGTAGTAATTACCCATGGTTAAAATGTAAGATAAATGTTATTGCTTCTTTAAAATTAGTATTTTGTATAACTCGTTGTCTTGTGCTTTCCAGTATTGAATACCTATGATAAATTTTTGTATGTGCAATGATGTGCTTTAATTAAATATGGTTTTTTTTTTTGTAAGTTAAAATTATCTTTATATTTTAGAGATATATTCATGTAATTTGAATGGATTGCAGTGAATTTTAATAATACCTAAATTATATCGGAAAGTTTTTACTTTATATGGGTTTTAATCTATTAATAAACAATTATCTAAAGTTTAGGTTTTCCACAATACTGATAAAAAATTTTTTCTGGGTTTTATTGAGGTATTTGTATACATTTTAATATACATTGTTATTAAAATGTTAAGATTAAAATATTATAGTAACTATTGTGTTCAAAATATTACCTATATAAAATCTTTGGTAGTTTAGCTAGTAGTGATACAAATAAGTTAATAAATAATATTTGTTATATTAGTAAGTACTTATTAAGTAGATGTCTAGTTTAATTAAAACATCATGAAATTGATTTTTTAGATGTGTATTTTTCAACAATGAGTACAAAGAGGCAATTAAAAGTTGACCAAAGTATTATTTAGTTCCAAAGAATAACAATTTACTTACATACCTGTGCTTGGTGCATATATATATATATATATATTTATAGTTATAGTAATAATCTGTAATATTGGCAATAAAATTGTAAAATTAAAAATTAATTTTGTATAAACTATTTTTATTTGTGAATAGATGTAGTCAAAAATGACAAAAACCTAGTTTCACCTAGCAATTTTTTTTTTTATCTTATCTTTATGATCCTAATTTCCATACAAAACTTTATACTCTATTCAGAATAAGAGCACACCCAGGAATGGACTAAAACAGGTTTGAATTTGTGCATATACACAGTTGGCAATTACGGGTTCGGTAGTAGTGGATCAGGTGATCCAACAGCTTGCAAATGTATACTCTTATTCTGAATAGAGTATAGTAGGTTTAAACCCGCATGTCAGTAGGTCTAAATTACATTGAGCAAAGACTCCCATGGAATTCAAGCTGGTGAGTGTAGTCAGTAGATGTAGCAAGTGGTCATCACTCCTGTACTTATGTAAACATTAAATATAAAACTATAGATACTTCTTCATCAAATTTATTTTAACTTAAAAGTAGGTATGCAATATGTATAACAATACCTGGATACCTATTTCATTCAATTTTAATACCTTGGTTCAAATAATCAAAAAACAGTACAAACAAAATGTAAGAAACTATTTGTCAATGTTTTATTTGACAAGATATTTACCAGTCATTTAATAGTTTAGGTAGTATGTACTTATTTATTTTTTAAATATTTAATTCTATATTTTATGTTAACAGTACCATCTTTTGGTTTTAATGTAAATGTATATTAATTATATTTTAATTTGTTATCTAATATTTAAGATTAATTTGCTACTCATACTAAAATTATCTGTGTATTGTTAAAAATAATTTTTAGTGATTATATCTAATAATTATTTAATATTAAAATATTTATAGAAAAATGGTTCAACATACAGATGAAATTATTGCCACCAATGGCACTGAAAGTACAGTCGTGTTGGACAATTTGTCTAACTACATGGTTATTGGCTGGGATATTGACACCACTGGTCGCCGTTTATTGGATGAAATTTGTCATATTTCTGGTTATACACCAAAGTCAATGTTCAGTCAATACATAATGCCGCACAATGACATCGATCAAGTAGCCAGAAGACGTCATCTTTTGTGCACTATAACTATGGGCCGTTTTCGTGCATTAAAAGATATCAAATCGAACAAAGTAATCTATTGTATATTTTAAATTACTTTCCTACAAATATGTTTAAAGGAACAATTTTTTGGTTAACTGGTAATAATATTTTTTTTAATCGAGTGAAGCAAAAATTGTATTTGTTTTTAAATGGTGTGCATTTATTTATTTTTTTTATCTGTAAACAACTATTTTACCAGAAATCTTTCTCCAATGTAACAAGTTAAGTATCTTTTCCGAAAGGAAATTTTATCTGAGTGATTCTCTTAAAAGGTAATTTTTTTATGATTTTTCAACTGGTTTTCATAATAACTAGAAAAAATCGAAAATAGAACAAAATTTATTATTTTCAATTTTGGTTTGTGTTGTGATACAGTTAAAAGTTTTCATAGAGACTTGATATTTGAACAGAAAACTTCATTTACCTTCTCTAGACGTAGTAACATTTTCTAAACATTCTAGTTATTTTTGAGCTATTTATAGACATTTTAATTTTGTTTTTATATCATTTTTATTCGGTATGAACTTTGTAGACAAAATTGTTCAAATTTAATACAAGTTTCATAATAAGCCATATTTTGTGGTTTGCAAAAAAAAAAAAAAAAGATTTTAATGAAGAATTTTATTATCAAATTTTGATGAAAATCTTAAATATAAATATCGCCTTTTAAACATATATAACCAAACTCCTCTCGGAATCATTTTTCATTGGCAAATATTAATCGTTACGTACATAAATACATTCAATTTCTCTATATATCCTACCTTCTTAACTTCTAACTTCCAACAGTGTTGTGCCTATTGTGTGAAGTATGTCCTTTTTTTTTTTAAGTAATAATTATGGTATTACTTTAAACATTTTTATTGGGTACCATTATATTATCTTGACAATCATAAATTCTGTCATTACCATTGACTAATGATCATGTTTGATTTTATGCTGAGTATGTTTTTAAAGAGAGAATAACACTTTTAATTTATTATCACAACTGAATATTTGGAAGCATTTGTTGCAAAACATGAAACATTTATTTTACAAGTGCTTGTTATAATTTGTAACATCATGTGGTTTTTTTTAATAATAAAAGGAAAAAAAAAGGACTGATATACTTAGCACATGACTGCAGCCACTGTTATAGGTGGGAAGTTGGTAATATAGGATACCGATGGGAATTTAATGTATATCTGTAAGCAATGATAAACCACTGCTAACGATAAAACCATTCTGAGCGGAGTTTATTGATAGTGTTGCTTTGTCAATAATATATTTTTCATGTTATGGTAAAATAATTGTAACAATGTACTTTTCCATAACAGTAATGATTATTTAAAAAAGATAAAAACTTAATAATAACAAAATATAAATAAAAACTTTTAACATAAAGAACCAGGTTTTCTTCACTATCTCAAATATTAATGAGAAGTTCAAAAAAAACCTCTCTAATATACCACCCAGTGAACACTTCCATTCATAAAAGATGTTTTACTTGTTAATTGGAATAAGCTTTTTGGTAGATAGTCCTTCACAGTATTTTGTGAACACGTGTTCACATAAAAAAAAAAAAAAAAAAAATGAACATTATTGTAAAATCAATAAATTTCTCATCTCTACTCAGAATCTAACTAAAATGTTAATTTTATTACATGTGTTTTAAGTATTTTAAGTTGCAAAATAATAGTCAGAATTAGTATTCGAGCTAATGGTAAAGTACTTTTTATTGTTACAATACCTTATTTTACATTTTCCTGGATGTTAACTTATGACGTTTAAAACAAAATAAATGTAAAATGTAAAATGTTTTTTTAGTATACAATTTAATATTTTAATTTAATAAAGTTTAACTCAAGTTTTTCTAGAATTTTTGATTTATATTTACTTTTTTTTTTTTTTTCAGACATTAAAATCAAAAAGTGAAATATCTGCTCTAGCCGAATTTATTGAATGGTTAGAACAAATATTAAAAGATAATGGTAAAAAAATGGCCATTTTAGTGTGCCATGAAGTTACCAAGTTCAATACCAGTCTTCTAATTAAGTCTCTTCTTGCGTAAGAATATACATTAAAACAAATTTATTTTAAGTATCAACATACCTATTCTTTCTATTTTTTATTTATAGCTATAATTTAATGGATAAATTTTCCGAATTAGTCAAAGGTTTTGCCAACTGCCATACATTTGCTCAAACTCATTGTCAAGATACCATGGTTATGTTTTCTCTTAGAGTTCTTTCTAAAGTTCTTTTAGATAAAGATAACATTGAAACTTTCAAGGCAACTGAACGTGCTAAATTAGCTTATGAGGTATGATTACAATCATATTTGTTTTATAGTTTATAAATTGTTACAATACAATTGAATTAATTATTTAAAATTATTTTAGATTGTTCAACATTTATGTGTTACTTTGGAAGGTGGCAATGGCGATGGAAAAGAAGTAGTAACTGGTAGTGAAGTTTCTGAGGAGACAAAGGTAAAGGCATTATCTACTTTCCTTACAGCCCTGGATTTTGAAGAAACCACTCTACATAGCACTCAAGAATTGTTAGCAAGACAAAAGTCACTAAACACAGTTTATCTAAGATCCTTATCATTCCACTCCTCGACCGCGGATCGTAAGAAAGCTATCGGTTATCGTAATTCTATTGCAAAAGCAAATATTGATTACATGACACTCCAAAACTTATGGACTGTAAGTTTAATTGATAATTTTTTGTTTTTTCATCAAAATTAATATTGTTGTTTTTAAATTGATTTCCAGGAAAATAAAGATGGTTTCAAGGATATTGTAAAAGAAAAGTTGTCAGGATTGTCTGACGAAGAAAAAGAAAACATTGCCATTAGTATAATAAAGCATTTTGAAAATCCTGAACCTATTCCTTCACCTTTTAAAGGTAGCCAAAAGTACAGTGGTAGATACAGAAGATACAGCAGTAGGGATAAGGAGACTAGAAAGAGTTCGTCTGATAAAGAAAACGACCCTGGTACCCTATCACCAACATCAACCGATCATAAAATAGAAGAAGTAAAGCCCCAAAGTGTAATTACCAACAGTCAAGAAAATGGTAATAACTAATTCATAACCAAAGTTTGATTACCATTTTAAGTATTAAGTATTAAAAAAAATCCAAAAAAAAAAAAATCTAAAAAAAAAAAACAGAAACGTTATGATTTTTGTTGTTCTCCATAGACTAAGTTTTATATATAAATAACTTAAATTTTAAATATTTCAACTATATCAAACCAAAATCTTAAGTTTTACCACTTTTCACGTTCTAATAATTATTTTCCATTTAGATATTATATTATAATTTTATTTTTAAAAAAAATCGGGTCGATTTTATTAATATTAGTTTTCTTCATGTTCTATTTCTATTTTAATTTGTAAGAACGTTGATAAGTTGAGATCATTATAACAAATATATATATTACACAAAAACTTATCTATAAAACAATAAACAATTTGTCTAATAAAGTAGTTATTTTATTTTATTGATTATTATAACTGTTTAATAATAATGCCAGTTTTATAATTTTTGGTTTACATTGTTTTAACGTAATAATAATTTAGGCTTTTTGCTATTAATTTTTAATTTTAATCAAAACTTGATCATTTCTTTGAAAGTGTTCATTAACTATTGTAAATAATAATAATGATTGCTTGCTCAAATAATTTTACGATTAAATTATAAATGTTTAGAGGTTATTTGATCTTCAAATGTATACTAATTTAATAATTTGAACAATGACAATATAATGCATGTCTAATTTCATTATAAATAACTGTTTAACAGTTATAGTACAGAGTAAATAAAATATAAAATACTGGGGAATTATAATTCTCCATAGTAATTTATTTTGAAAAACATTTTTTAATCAAATTTTTATTTTTAAATAAATATAATAGCAATACGTAAATAATTACTTAATATTTTCACAATTTAATTAAGAACCTATGGTAAGTAATTTTATTTTTAAATAAACATTTTGTTTTATTCATGTTGATTTATCTGTGTTTATTATTATATTTTTTTTTTAATAATCCTCAGTGAAATCATTTAAAAAATTGTTTATTCTTTATACCATTTAATACCTTCTTGGTCTCTTGTTAAAATTGATATCTGTGCATATTAGTGATAATTTTGTTGTATATTGTAGATGGTAAAAGTATTTTACCTTATGATATGATTATTAAGTATATTATTATACTATTATTTAATTTTTCTTTTGTCTATAATGTTTAATTAAACACGTTGGCAAGTTTATCAAAATTAAATTTATTTAAGATTTTATAAATTAAACCATGATGACTAATGGAAATCTGGAATAGTCAGAATTTATATGAAAGTAGAATTTTAATTTCAAACTTCAATCTATTTTAAATAATTTTTATAAGAGTGATATATTTATATTAAGTATTAAGATGAAATTTTATTATTTTTTTAAATCCATTTTAGATTCTGAGCAGAGCAAGGAATGTATTAGTTTTGCAATGATTTTATTTTTTTCAAGTGTACCATCTTTTCTGAAGGGAAATTTGGAAATTTTAGTGGGGTGATACTTAAGATATAATTTTTTTTAATTTCCCTGGAGTTTTCATCAAAAATTTGTAAGTTTTCAAATTTTAAATATTAGTCTTTCAAAACATGTATAACTGAACTACTCTCAATCATTTTTGATTAGCAATAATTAATTGCTGCGTACAGATAAATATTATATTATCCTCTATCTTCCCAACTTCTGACGTACAACAATATCCCATCCATTGTGTGAAATGTGTCAGTTTGTTTTTTCACAATATCATTGATATTTGTTTAAATTGTATCTGTATGTATAAGGAAGAGACCGTTCTGAATAACTACTTATTATAAGAAATAACAGATGGGGTTGCATAAGGTTGATGGTCTGTAAAATTCTGTCAAACAGTATGAAGAGTTCTAAACAAGATTTTCTTATGTGACTGTGAACACTAGATAGGAGGTATCGTGTGTATGTTTTCCAGATGGTATTCCTTTGATAGGAGAAAATCTGAAATAAGTTAACAATAGGCTTGAAGAATGGAGAGTACCACTTGAAGGAGAGGGACTAAGGATAAGTAGAAGTAAAACAGATTATGAGTTTGGAGGAACAGGACAAGACAGCTGATGACAATAAGCAGATGTACGGTGTCTTTTATGACTCATGAGCATGTGGAATGTTGGATTACGTGTGGTTGGATAAATCGGAGAGAAGTGTCAGGTTTTTTATGTAACAAGAGTATTCCAACGAGATGGTTGGATGCGATTGAAAATGATTAGAAGACAACCAGTGTATGCAAGATGGGAGATCTGGTCAAGTAGAAGTTTTAAACAAGGGTGGCCGACTCCAAATAATTGAAATCAAAAGAGAAAATACCTGTATATAAGAAAAAAAAATCTAACCTCTGTGAAGTATGACAAATCACTTTTTAATTTATATATTTTCTACTATCTGCCTTGTTTATATTGTTAATAAAAATGTAGGGAATATACAATTTATTGAAGAAAATCCTGAATATAGCAATTCTCGAAACCTATATGGTTACTATGGTTATATATTACTATGGTTTAATTTTATATTGTTTTTAGATTAAATCTCAAAACATCCAAGTATAAGTAAAATTCCCATAATTATTTTTTTGTTTATATTTATAGTACAAACCTAGTATAATAATATTAATTTATCATTTTCTAAAAGTTTTTCTTCATTGGCCAATTCAACCAAACCTCCAATTATTAAAACAAATCTACCTACCAAGTATATAGATTTGTATATTTTAAGTTTCTTATACAGAAAATATAAAAATCATTACTGCATTGTAGTATTACTCTGAGGTGTAGCATTATTACTCTATGATATGCAGCACTGAATTTCTTTCTGGGATAATAAATATCTATATCCTATATCCTATTCTCCAATTAGAAAATGTCAACAAGTCACGTCCAAATAAGCCTAGAATGATGCTGACGTACTATCATCATAGAAACAGCGATCGGAGAGGCTCGAACTAAGAAAACTATTATTATTGGAGAAAACGTAGATCTCTGAGTTCTATTTATTTCAGGCACTACGTCGCTCGAACAAATTTATTTTTCAAAACCAAAAAAAGGAAAAGTTGAAACAAAAATATATTCATCTGGTTGCATAGACCACTACAATTATGGTAGAGATATCACTTTATTTTTGCACGCTATTACTGGATGTGGTACAACGTCTACTTTTTTCACTGAGGCTGGGCGCACACCTAAAGAGCAAAACTGCTCCGAGCAGCCTGGATCAGCTCGGAGTTATTTGGACATCATTAGAACACGTGTAAAGTAATTGACGCGCGCACACTAATCAGTCTACATCACANTCCGAGCAAAATACGAAAACCAAAGTCACTTGTTTATTTTACGACTAGTACACTACCGAACACCGTGTGAACACGTTATTTTAATATAAAAATTATATCATATTAATTAAACATGGCATGCGATCCAGAAAAATTAATAAATGCAGTATTTTGCAGAAAATCTATTTATGATTATTGTGATAAAGATCATAGCAATAGATTGATTCAAGATTATTTTCTAACCGTTTTTTATTTATTTCATGCATCCAAAGTTTGTTTTTGCTACTTTCGCTATTTAATAAAAATTGCCACCTTAGCGGCACAACGACGTCATCTTCGTCAGAACTCATCTTGACGACTGGTGTCTTGTTCTGTTCTGTTTTGCCAGTGTGAATGGAATTTGTTCCGAGCTGCTCGGAGCAATTTTGCTCTTTAGGTGTGCGCCCAGCCTAAAGGAAAAGTAAACGTTTTAAAACTCTTTGAAAAATGTCCAGATCTTAACAAAACAGCAGCAATATTCAAAACAAAAAACTATCCCATTGCAGACATTTTCAAACGGATTGCAATTTATTTTAGCCATGTATGGTGCCCCAAAAAAAGAGATATCCATTGATAATTATAGGTATTTAACTTTTGCCAAATTGACCAGAAATAATAAACCTATCAAATTATTATCACTCCCATCCACAACTAGTGCGGCCCAACAGCATCTACTTCGTGTTTATTATCAATTACAAGTTTGGCTGGGTAACACATTCAATCCTAAACAATGGGGGTGGGCTATGGATGACAATATTTTGGAACCTGTCACCACATTATTACCACCCGCACCTAAAGATTTGCTAAATATGATTTTTTATAATTGTACAAAAGGTTATGGTACTAACTGCGGGTGTAGAAAAATAGGAGTTAATTGTTCAATTATTTGTGGACACTGCCGTGGTTAATCATGCTTGAATTCAAGTTCTATGAATGGTTTGGATGAAAATATAGACGACTCTACGCCGTTCCACATCATGTCGTTATTGCTGTATCGTTTGATTCTTTTCGAGATTTTTGATTTGCATCTGGTACAAGTTGACTAGGTTTCTACACAACGTCGACTCGTGTTCAAATTAAATCCGTTGATTTTTCATTTCAGCATCTTTTCTGAACGCAACAAGTTCGAGCTCAGATTTCAACTTTTCAATTTCCATATCGCGCAATTGTACGAGCGATGCCGAATTGTCTCCGGTCGACGCTGTAGCGTACCTGCCGGTCTTCCGTAGCGACGGAAACACGTCTTCGCACAACCACTTTGTAAGCTTAACGGCTTCGGGTTTCTTACATCATCTACGCATCAACAACGCCCCGGTACAGTCCCGGTTCCGAGATGAACACCGTGTGCGGCTGTCAATCATTGTTCGGCGTTGTGACGTTATTTGTGCCGTCAGCGGGGGCGCCAAAATTGGCGCCCTGTAAATCGATCCATTCACGTCGCCACGCGACATAAACATTATTATTTATAGCGTCCCGCGGTTTCTCGTAATCCAAAATGTCAGCAACATCGTGCCCTTTGAACCAAAACTCCTCCGTACCGTCGGCCTTCTTCACCACGTAAATGTAACATTCGAACGGCACGTCGCCGCCAAACGAAAACTGTTCGCTTACGAGTGACATTGTGTTATTGTCACGCACGAGTATGACAACTGTAGCGCAGTGTAGTGGGCACACAGCGAAATGCGACTGACGTTGTTTGGTGTTCAATCGTTCGGTTTGTACGCGGAAAAACGGTCCAGGAACAATGAAGTGACGATTACCAGCTACCTATATCCTGTGTATGAGTAATTGTTTTTAAAACGAATCATGCACGAAGACGAAAGTGTTCACTCTTGCGCAATCGCGTCATTATACGGCTAATCGGGTATTCGTGAGTAGGATGGGGCGACGGGTGGATCGACCCCACCTTGGACGTTTTTGGCCGTGATTTTTCAATCTGGCGATAAAACAATATAGTATTTGGATTATTTATTATTTCTCGTGTGTTTTTATTAGCGTCAACAAAATGCAGTGACAATGTCATAACTATGGCGATTTTTTTTTCTATAATACGTGTAGGGATGCCGATGTGGATGTCCCAAACATGTAGTCACCGTTTGATTGGTTTGTAGGAGCAATAAAAAAAAAAAAAAAAAAAGATTAATATCGGCGTATTACTTTAAAATTGTTGTGAATAATTGTTCGGTACGAATATGTAATGTATACATGTTGGGTGTATGTTATTACGTCACGGCCGTTACGGGTAAACGCCGAAATCTCAGAAACGTCCGGGCAAAACGTCATATTTCGGCTTTTTTTTCGGACAAATCATCTATATGGTAGCGATCAACATTATTCGGGTAAAACTGCAACGTCCGTAAATTTAAATTTTTCACATATTTGAGATTTGTCCGATTTCGGTTTTTGATCGTAAATTATACATGTACGTCTTTTATTTTTATTTTTTATATTTTTCATTATAGTTTATACCTGTAAACTATTTTCTTAATTGCCAAAAAAAAAAAAAAAAATGATAACTGTTGCTTTTTTTGGGACGAGAAAACGTAAATAAAAAGCATAAAGGTTGTACCTATATAATACGAATTAAGATAATTATATAAAATAATCGTATTAAAATATTATAAGTAGTGCTATGTAAAAATATTATGACGTTTAAAATATCAATTCATTTTTAATTAAAAGATCACGACGATCATAACATTTAATACATTTTTATGCTCGTTGCTAATATTTTTTTTTCTCTAAATAATTACTAATTAAATTTAATTATAAAACAAAACTATCTATGGAATTTCGAATACCTATATATTGCTATTTGAACATCAAACGTTCACCCAATTCCCCTCTAAAAGGTCGTCTAAACATTTCAAGCGCACATATAATTGTTTCGTTACACATTTTGTGTATTTAGAGGAGAAAATTGTTGTAATATAAAATTCTGATCATACTGCAATGTATTTATATTTTTTTCCGGGATTCGGTCGTTGTTATACGCATATGAACAGGCCCGGGGCCCACATTAATAAGGAAACGTATTCTGTTAAAATGGAATAAATGGACGGAAAAAAAAAGTCATCAAATATTCAACTCATAAAATGGGTGCCCCCCCCCCACCCTAAATCCGGGCCTGCACATGACTAGTGAGACTAGAGGCGAAGCTAAAGTTTCTCTAGGTACGACCATTTATTTTGACTATGGCTTTTACAATATAAATGTATGACATTGATGATATGACGTAGCACGCAGGTAACGATTTATTGGTACGTGTGGATCGTACGAACACGATCGTCGGTGTTCGACTTTTTTTTCAATATGTCCACTGCTGTTTTCTTATCAATTAAAAATAATATTTCCCGTTATCAGTGTCCTCCGAGGAAATAAGACGTGTTGACCCGCATTTGGGCAACGATTTAAATCGACTCAAATGTTCTCCGCCTCGTTTACCCCGTTCCAGGCGACATCGGTTTCGCGCGTATAGATCGTGTTCCCGGATCCGTTTCTGTGATGCAATTTTCAGAAAACGGTAACTCGCTGAATGACACAACCATCATCGACTGCCTACATGGTTTTTTCACGTTCACCAAGCTCTTCACGTTAACTATTTTGGACGATTATTTCTCGTTGATCGATTTCCAGGTCTCCCTGCACGAATTCCTGCAAAGCGTACTCAACTTTGTCAGCTTCGATCAGTTCCAGATCGAGATATTCAACTTCCTGATACTGTTCGAGACTTTGTTGCTTGCCTTGTTGATATATATCTGGGCAAAATACAACAGTGATATTTACGAACGTTTCCTGTTGAGTGGTTGGTTTGGATTTAAAAAAAAAAATAAAAATATTAAGATAATTACCAGGTATTAGTTTCTGATGTATTTAAATGGTATTTGTATTTTTTCAGACGCAATAGTCGATGAACTGAAGGAGGACGTGTCTCAATTAAAGTTACCCAAGTCGTACACTCCTAGAATATAAAAGAAGATGAGTGATAAATTGAAAAAGTTTTTCCAAAAAAAGAAGGCTGACGTCAAGTTTAAAAGAGCTGGCCCTGGTCATCGTCTCAATGAAGATACTGCACCAAAGAATGTGGCGAAAACCGGAGAAACATCTCGCTCTAACAGAGTCGAACCTACAGATGAAGCCAAACAAGCAGCAGCTGCTGCCTTGGCTAGATTTGAAAGTAAAAAATCTACTACTGGTCCAATAAACACGTTAGTTTATTTTTTTTAACATGTACCTATATTAATTTAATAATGAATTTGGCTTATTTATTGGTACTTAGTGAAATTGATTTTTCAGTTCATTAGCTGCTATCAAATCGAGAGCTCGAAAAGAAATGGAAGCAGAGAGAAGAAAAGAGAAACAAAATGAAGACACATTCACACATTTAGAAGAATTAAAAACCAGTACTGATGTTTCTGGAACATTAGCTACTATTGGTGTTTTTTTCCAATGTCCAATAATAGGCAAGTATTTTTTTTCTAACTAATCAATCTTTATTTTTACCTTGATAAATCATAGGCAAAAATTGTTTATAAATGTTCGGGTGATGGAAAACTGGCACCCAAAATGCCGATAGGAAAAAAAACTGACATGCACAATTGACTGAAAATTAAAATACTGTTCCAATAATGAAACACTATGAATAAAATAAATTATTAATATAATAGTATTATGGCTAGTGAATTAGTCCAAATGATAAATTGTAAAATTTAAAAAAAAACCAAACCTAACCTAGTGTGCCTTTTGTTAAATGTTTAATAGCAATAAATCTTTTAAAAGGAATCGGCCAAGGATTAGATTTACGTTATCAAAATGATAATAAACTCCACTTAACATTAGATCTTATAATTAACTTTATATCTTAAGTTGGATTCTTGTTATTTATTCAATACACAATTTAAGTTTAAATTTATTTGTATAATACTTTGCTTAAAATCGACAAGCATTTTCTAATAGGAAGACTGATTTATGCATATGGCAACGCATACACAAAAGTTTTTTTTTTAAATTTTTATATTGAATAAAATTAGCAATTTAGTAAAAATAAATTCTATATTAGTTTTAAAAAAATTCTTTAATAAAACAATCATATTTATAGGTTTGGAAGTTTGAGCGCATTTTTTTTTTTTCAGGGAACATTTGGTGTCAATTTATCAGATGTATTGGAATTTGTAAAAGAAAGTGTTTTTGATGAAGAACAACCATTTAATTTGAGACTATGCAATAGAAAAATGTTTAGTCCTGAAGATGAACATATGACTTTAATTGAATTAAGCTTAGCACCTTCTTCTATTTTGCTGTTTACTAACGATCCACCTATTAGCGATCAGGGTCACCCTTATTTGAAAGATGAACTTATGTCATTGGTACAAAATACCTTGTAATCTTCTTCTTCTTCATCGATTTTTTAAAGGCCATTGAGGCCCATTACCGCAACACAAATTTGCTTCCATCTGTCTCTGTCCTGTGCTATTGTTTCTCCATCTCATATTCCAATTTCTGCTAAATTCTTCTCCACCTTTGTTTCGGCCTGCCAAGTGGTCTNAATTTAAGTTTAAATTTATTTGTATAATACTTTGCTTAAAATCGACAAGCATTTTCTAATAGAAAGACTGATTTATGCATATGGCAACGCATACACAAAAGTTTTTTTCTTAAATTTTTATATTGATTAAAATTAGCAATTTAGTAAAAATAAAGTCTATATTAGTTATAAAAAAATTCTTATAAAACACAATCATATTTATAGGTTTGGAAGTTTTATCACAAGAAGAATGGCATGTAAAAATAGAAGAATTTATTAAAGAACAAATGAAAGATGATCCTATTTTACAATCAATTCTACTAATACAAAACTGTAATCATAACCGGTCTAAAGTAAATATATTTTAAAGGTGGACTTATGTACAATTAAACATTATATTTATTTTATTTTAAAAAGGTGGAAGAATGCATTAAGTTATTGGTGACTTATGCAGAAAATATTATTAGGAATAGAGAGGAAGTGAAGTATCGTAAAATTAGATTAACCAATAAAACATTTATGGAAAAAGTGTTACCAATTAAGGGAGCGATCGAGTTCTTAGAATCTATAGGTTTTATAAAACAAAAACTAATGCATGAAGACCAAATGGAAAATTTCTTAGTTTTTCCTGAAGACTGTTTAAATAATTTGGCTATGGTTCAGTCTACTGTGGACGATTTACAATCGGCAGAACGCATACAACTGGTTTTAGATAGAAATGTTCAAGTTCTCCTACCATCACAAGCATCAAAAAAAGTGTCATTACCTCCAGAGTTTTTTAGTATGTCTGCTGTTGAACTAAAAATTGAACAACAAAAGCGGTAAGCTCTTATAACACATTAAATATACTATGTGTGATGTTATGTTTGTTTTAATACTAGGACTGAGAATATTGAAAGTGAAATGGTACTCAAAACTAAAAAAATGCGCATTAAAGAACAGAATAAACACAATTCAAGGTATAAATATTGTTTGATTCGCGTGAAGTTTCCAGACTGTTTGTATTTACAAGTAATTTCACTGAGTATATATTTTAGTGCATTATAATTTGAGCGCATTTTTTTTTTTTCAGGGAACATTTGGTGTCAATGAACATTTATCAGATGTATTGGAATTTGTAAAAGAAAGTGTTTTTGATGAAGAACGACCATTTAATTTGAGACTATGCAGTGGAAAAATGTTCAGTCCTGAAGATGAACATATGACTTTAATTGAATTAAGCTTAGTACCTTCTTCTATTTTGCTGTTTACTAACGATCCACCTATTAGCGATCAGGATCACCCTTATTTGAAAGACGAGCTTATGTCATTGGTACAAGATACCTTGTAATACTCATAAATTTTCAATGGATTGTGATATTATTTTAATAATTTTTGTTTAAATCGGGTACAATCAATTATTGTTAAATTAATGGATACATTTTCATATTTACTTTTTAAATTGGTTTATAAAATAAATTTATTTATTTATTTATAGTTAAACAATTAATTAACATTAATTATGTTCACAATTTATTTATATTAATAATGTTCACAATTAATATAAACTTGCTTAATTTATGCCTTAATGAAACAGAAATAATTTGCATTATCTTTCAAAATGGCCTTTTGATAATTGCACATTTTTTGTAATACACAACAATCTTTTATAAGTGTGATTCCACAAGTAGAATAGAATATAATGTTGATGGTAATAATGAGCAAAGTATACAGTATACGCCCGATTAGTGTGATGTCATTATCTGAACAAAATATTCTACACTTTAAGTACTTATATACTTATTTTATTCTAAAAAACCTCATTTGAGTATCTCTTATTTAATAATATTCGAATCTTAGTATGTAAATATATTATGTGTGTTTTTAATTGTACAATTATATTATTTGGATTCAAACAATCAAATTATTACTAATAACAGTCTGATAAGAAGTGCATGACAAAAGTACTAATCGTGCGTATTTTGTTAAACAGACCCTTTACTGTGGTCGGTTATACTTAGAATAAATAAAAAAAAGGAGAATATAATGTATCAGATATCAGTACGTGGAAAGTAAATAACATTATTATTAATAATGTATATTATTTGGTTTTGCCTATTACAAGGCCCTATTGAGTGCAATTATTGTATGCACATTTTCCAAAACTACTTATTACAATATTCAAATTTGACTAATTGTTTATTAATAGTTTGGAATAAAATTCATAATTTATTAAAAATACTAGTTTATTAAAAAAATTAAAAATGAATATTCTTTTTTGAAGCCTTACAGTAAAATATAATTTTTTTTTTTAATACTTAAAAAATTGAAAAGTACATCATAAATATGAAAAATTATATTATAATTATTATAAATAATCTATTCTTCATAAAAAAAGTTACTGATCTTTGAACACATATTTGAGAACTCTTTTTGTATTACGGCTGTTTGTTGTTCACAATCCTTATATTTAGTTTCACTTTCATTTATTAATTTTGATATTCTCTCCTCAAGTTTATTTATACGCTGCTTATTAAATATTCCTTGATTAAACAAAATTTCATTATTTTTTTCTAACTCGTTAATTTCTACATCGAGTTTACTCAAAGATTCTTCTAATCCAATTAGTTCTAACGAATCATTATCAACAAGATATTTGCTAAATATTAAATAAAAAAAACAAATTAATAATTTATACATTTTTATAAATTGATTTACCTAGATAAAATGAAAATAGAAAAAAATAAAATACTTTGCTTCTTCTTCATCTAGCTCATTTTTTTCAGTAAATAATTCATAAACATTTTCTTCTTTGATAATTTCTTGAAAATGATAGTTCATAAGATAGTTTAATTGTGTTTTCAATGCATTCAACAGGTTTGTTGCATTTTTTCGGTTTTTTAAAAATGATAAATCTTTTAAAGTAGTTTTAAATTCTTCAAAACTAAAAAAAAAATATATATAGACATTTACTAAAATTTTAATACTCATTGTAAATAATTATTATTTTCTTCTTTCAAAGAGAAAAAAAAAATTAAATATTGTTAATATTGTACATAGTATTTACTTACCTAATGCTATCATTTATGTCTTCAAAAGTCTTATTCACCACATCACAGAGTTCTGTATATCTGATTGGATGTTTTAAAGCAATCTTCTTAAAGGCCATACTTATGTCCATGTCAGTAGATATTGGAGGATTACCATCAGAGTTGTATGCATCATTTTGTGATTCATCAGTCATATTTTTTGATTCCATTTCCACGATGAGATGTAGAGAAGAATTATAATCTGGTTTACATGATATAATAAATACATTTATTTTCTCATATTAGTTTACATCACAGTCTAAATATAATGAGAATACTATTGTTTTTGGTAAACTATATCATCAAATGTGAATTGTTAAATATTTTAAATATTGTATAATATAAATATGATGAAATTTGTCTTAGTTGGGTAGCTATTGGTTGTAGATAATAAAGAGAACGAAATTTCAATAAGGTAATATTACTTTGAACAGTTTACAGTTATGATAATATTACTTCTATATGTCGTAATGTCGGTATTCTCAAAAAAATATTATATATTGTTTTTTATATGATAAAAAACAATATTACTTACGTCTTATGGTAAAAAAAATCTGATTTTTTGAATGAATTATAACGAAAAAACTAAAATAATAACAATTATAGCAAAAAAGTTCAGTTTACAAGATAATTATTTGAATACTTATCACGAAACAAAAAACTGAAACTGACATGCACAATTATTATTCCAAGACAGTGCATACAATATTTAATACTGTTTATCTAGGATAATATAATTTTCAAACAGAGGCAACTCTGGTATTACACAAGTTAGGGCACAGATATAGATAATAATAATTTATTATTTATATCTGTGATTTAGGGTTCCTACTATAGATAATAAAGTATGGATACGGGCAAGGTGTATCAATACAACGTAGATACGGGCACCGATCCACTCTTCCACACGAGATAAGAATATGAACATTTTGAAAAAAAAAATGTTTTTATTAATATTTTCAATTTGCAAATCAACAAATAAATATAACATCATAATGAACTAACTAAAACATAACTATTTCATATCAGTGTTAACCCATATCACACTATTAACTATCTTATCATTATTTGTATTTTCTCAAGGATATAAAGAGGAATTTAATGTATATTTGTACACAATGATACACCATAGATCACATATTCACGAAAGAAAAACCAAATATATGGTAATATCTAGGCGAGAAAATCACGAGGAAAATTTAGAAGTTGAGAATTATAAATTTGAAAGAGTGCAAAATTTTAAATACCTGGGTGTTACAATAAATAGCAAAAATAATAATCACGATGAAATTAAAATAAGACTAAGTGCAGCAAATAAATGCTATTACGGAGTAACGAGTATACTAAAATCAAAACAGGTATCACTCAAATCAAAAATTATAATATACAAGGTAATTATCAGACCAGTCCTTTTATGTGCGTGTGAAACATGGCCAACGACTAAAGGAGACGAAGACAAATTAGCAATACTCGAAAGAAGAATATTAAGAAGAATATTTGGGCCAAAAATAAATAGCATGACACGACAATATGAGAAAAAAAATAATATAGAAATACAACAATTATATAAAGAGCCAGACATAGTAGCAGTATTAAAAAATAGGAGAATGGCATGGGCCGGTCATGTATGGANTCTTTCAAATAAGGGTGACCCTGATCGCTAATAGGTGGATCGTTAGTAAACAGCAAAATAGAAGAAGGTGCTAAGCTTAATTCAATTAAAGTCATATGTTCATCTTCAGGACTAAACATTTTTCTATTGCATAGTCTCAAATTAAATGGTTGTTCTTCATCAAAAACACTTTCTTTTACAAATTCCAATACATCTGATAAATTGACACCAAATGTTCCCTGAAAAAAAAAAAATGCGCTCAAACTTCCAAACCTATAAATATGATTGTTTTATTAAAGAATTTTTTTAAAACTAATATAGAATTTATTTTTACTAAATTGCTAATTTTATTCAATATAAAAATTTAAAAAAAAAACTTTTGTGTATGCGTTGCCATATGCATAAATCAGTCTTCCTATTAGAAAATGCTTGTCGATTTTAAGCAAAGTATTATACAAATAAATTTAAACTTAAATTGTGTATTGAATAAATAACAAGAATCCAACTTAAGATATAAAGTTAATATATTCTAGATTACAATTCACCTCAAATAATAGTAAAACTATTGCATTTAGATTAGGAACCGGCTAAGGAAAATTTGGATTTATTGCTATTAAACATTTAGCAAAAGGCACACTAGGTTAGGTTCGGTTTTTTTTTTTTAATTATATAATTTATCAATTAATTATTATTAAAATATTAATATTATTAAGTCAAAAATATTTTTGGACTTTTGAATATTTTACCACATTAAATTTCCCAGTCTACAAATATAATTAACTGAATTACAACAAAAAATAAAATTGAAATAATGAAATTATTATTCCCGTAGCTTCCTGTTATTTCTATGGTTTCCCCAACATTGCTTAATATTATGAAATCTACAAGGAAATTAAAAAATGGATTCATTTTACAACTAGATTCAGAATATAACAAAATATGTTTCTTTGCATTTTTGTATTTGAGCAATATTTTTGGTAACGTCATAAATTTGTCAGTTTTCATTTTACACTTTTCTGGTTTTTCTCAATTATTATGAAAATACTTGGAATGATCAAATAATGATTTACTCGGCACTAGATCCAATATACAACATTACAATTACTTTTGCTTCAAATTCCTTTCTCCCCATGACATGTCTAAATCTTCCTAATCTATTTTCTCTCATTTTATTAACTATTGAAACCACGCCTAATCTTCCTTTTAAGTACTCATTATTTATCTATCTTCTCTCGTCACTCTACTCATCCAAATTATTGCACTGCTACACACCATAGTTCGTCAGTCTCGCCACACTTTTTTAGAACTTAACTTTAAATTTCATTAGCATTTTCTTGGATTGAATTTCTTAGGTTATTGACTTATCTCAATCCCATTTGTTGCCTCTTACGGTAGGTAGAGGTTCTGTGGGAGCATTTTAATCTTCTCCCACAGAAAGATAATTTTTTCATAAATAAATTGTATAATATTTAACATTGTTTTTATATACCTAATACTTATGTGACTGTGAAGTCATTTATTATGTACACATAAATTAATTTTTATTCATTGTGTAATGTCCGTGTAGTTGAACCCAAAAAAGCAAAAAGGTGACAAATTTTCATAAACAATTATTTGTCAATTTAACATAGTCCTGAAAAAAAAAAAATTACCTATTATTATATTTCTATATATAAATTAACAAAAATTAATAAAATTAGTTAATATTAATAAAACTAGCTAATTCGTATTTGTTTTTAAAAATATTGATAAATTGTATGAAATATATATATATATATATGTATCACCTTCATAGCTTGAAATATTGGGATGACTGATAATCCCGCTTTCTCGTATTTATCTATTAAACTCTTAGCGTAGGACATAAACTCATCGTCTTCTCGTTTCAATAGTTTTATGAGATCATCTCTGTATTTCAGCATAGCTTGTTTGTCAGCCATATTAGCTATTCTGTTATTTTCCTATAATGTATAATTTTTGTTTTATTTTCGACCATAAATTAATATTATTATAAATTCAATGTTTTGGCGCCGAAATCTTACAGACTGTATATCGAGGTTCTTTCGAAAGTCATTCATCTTATTAATCTTAGCTTGTTTTTCTAATTTTTTATGATCATCTAAGACTTTCGACTCTCGTTGCCACCTTTCCAGTTCCCATTTACGGCTTAGTTCTAATTGTTTTTTTTCATTTAAAGTTTCCTCGTCGTATGCTTTTTTAAAGTCCTTGAGGTCTTTTTTCATTTGTTTCGCCAACTCTTCTTTCTGGGATTGTTTTGTTTGATATCTAAACCATCATTAATTATATATAACAACGGCGTGTATATTTTAAAAACGACCAAAATAGAAATAATATTTATACGAACTTCGCCTCGATTTCGTCCATAGCTTTCTGCATTGCGAGATTTTTAATATTTAATTGTTCTTGTTGTTTTTTAACTGAAATTTCGGCCTTTTTTTCCGCTAACTTTTTTTCTTTCAACAACTAGACGAACAATTATAACTATTAATAATTGTCTACATGAATACATAATATACAGTTTACTTCATTTTCCCTGAATTTTCTAGTCGCAGCCATTTCTTTTTTTGAATCTGCTATTATTTTAAAAACTGCATCTTCTTCCTGTTCTTTCAATTGATTTATCTTATTTTTGTTTACTATGATTTCTCGATTGTCAGCCAAATTTATCAACATACTCTCTTTTACTGCCTGATTCTAAAAAGAAAAAAGTGTTATATCAATCAAAAATATAAAAATATTTATTATACTTTCGCCTTTTCCTTTTCTTTTTCTTCATATATTTCTCTCGCAATCTTTTCTAATTCTCGTTTGCCATCTTCTTTTAGTTTAATATCTTCGTCGTGTCTTTGAACTTCTCGTTCTTTTAATCTAAATTACAGAATAAAATAATAGAAATATATTACAAAATTAACTATACAATATTACAACACGACATACATACTACTGTACTTAGTAATAATATAAAATCATAATATTTTGGATTTGATTTGATTTTTTTTTCGTGCCAGTAAATTTAACAAATTCCTTTTTTGTAAGAACGAGAAAAAGTTTTCTTATAATAATGGAATGTAAACAACTCATTGATGGTTTATATATAGACTTGTTTATAAGTGAGATATCTGAAATTGCCTATTATGATTAGGCATGGCCAGACATAGTTTTAAATAAAATACAAATTGAAATCATGACACCCATATTGCATACCTACTTGTTGACATCCATACAACTTCTGTCTAAAAGTTAATTTCTAGTTCACAACTATTTTTCAACTATGTAGTTTATACAGGGTGATATTTTCTATCATGAACCAGCAATTATCTCAAAGTATTTTAAGTGAATTTGATTTATGTTTTTTTAAATCATTATGGAATTATTTAAGCTTTATTTTAAAGCCATTTTTAAGTTTTTTCCTTATTCCATGTACATTAAATAAGTACATACTTTTGATTTTCAAATAGGAACCCCCCCTTTTAAACACAGATTTAAATAGAAAATAGTGAGTACGGGACAGGTAGAGCTTATGAAGAGGAAAGAAAACCGCTCCTTGAAGGACACTTGAAAAATGATAGAAGGTATTAGATAATAAGTTTTGAATTCTGACATACTGAGCTCAGTTAGGTTAGGTTTTACCTTAAAAACAATTTTTATGTAACATTTTAGAGCTGCTTGTTTCTTAAAACGTTCAAAATAAATTGAAAGAAGTTAATCCTTAATCTTCTCGAGAGATAATATCTGTTATCGAAAATTGATACCTCTATAGTTTAAATCACGGTATATTTTTGTTTTAAATATTTTTACTATCTCACTGTTTTAATAAAATAGCCGATTTATCCTTTTTGGTTTTTGCATCTTGTAGTTTTTGTTCCCATCGTTCTTTTTTGTATCGTTCTGCATCCAAGTTCTGCTCTGCATGCAATAATCGCTCCTTTTCTGTATTACTTTCTCTCTCTTTCTTGTTGAATTCCATCTGTAGATCTCTCTCTTTATACACCTATATAAACAAATTTAATGATCAATGTGCAAATCAATATTATTGTTATTAAACACCTCTATCATTTTCACTCTTCTGGACAGCGTTTTTGTAGAATCTTTCTCTGACCATTTATTTAATCGTGCCTTTTCTATAATCATATTTCTGCGCTCTAAAATTTCAAGTCTCCTCTCCTCGTCCCTTTTCAGGTGTGCGGCTTCGATGTCTGCCAACAATTTCTTCTTTTCTTCCATTGCCCTTCCCCTTTCGTTCTAATTTATAAAAAATAGTGTCACATTTAATTAGATTTTTGTCATCATTTATCGGTAAGTACCGTATACACCATGTGTGTGTAGTATTGTAACGCATTAAAAAAATAGTTAAATATATTTATGTGTTTTATAAAGTAACGAAAATTACGTGATTTAACCTTAATCTCCCCAGTTCTTAACAAAATAAAAAAATGTGCACGTGCTCGATATATTATACCCATAAATTATGAATACTTGTTTTTTATGTAGCCCCACCGCGAATTTCACTCGATTATGATGTAACCTTAGCTCGATTCGCTTGCCTAAAACTCAAATGCAAGTTTATGTCAAAATTTAAATCGAAAACCGGAGTTTTAAGCAAAATCACGTCAGGGCGGGTACATTTATTACGGTGTTGAGTTTATAAAAAATAAAAACTTGAAATGAAACAAGAAATTCAAGCATTAGTAAGTACAAATATTATTACTAACAAGAATTTAAAGAGTACTATTAAGTAGATATTTATTATTTTAGATACATTTTTATATTAGGGATAAAGCTTAACTTAAGAGAAGAAGACGCTAATATACGTTATTAGGATTGTTCCATGTTTCGGCTATTGCTTTGGATTTAGCCATCCGTTCATCATTTAACCGTTTTATTTCTTCTAGTGCAGCCCTATTGTCATCTTTTTTGGTTAAAGTCTTATTAATCCTTTTCCATTGGTCCTTCGGTAATATCAGTGCGTTCGTATTGGTAATCATGTCTATTACCACTTGCGTATTTGTTTGTACTTCGTGAAAGATATTTTAAAAAACGTAAGCAAGTATCTTTATTATTATGTTTAATTAGTTAAAAATAATCTAGATTTGCAAACAACACCAACGGAAAATGAAATATTTATTTTGAATGTTTTAAAACACACTAAAACTGCAATGCTTAGCAATCTCTATGGGCAACAATCTTAAAAATCGCAACCATTTTATAAAATACCTAGCACCTAGGCAATAGGCATTATAAATATGTATAAAACATTAAATTATAGAATGTAAAACAGTTATGGGTGGCCGAGAGGTCCCGCCCCCTCCCCCTTAACAATTATATTATATTTATAGTTGTAATAATATGAGTTCAGAGTTAATAATGTTGATGATTTTTTAATTTGAAACCTGTCGCACAGTATACATAATATCTTAATACTGACGATGCATTTTCACAAATATTAATAAAAAAAGTGAACACTTTTAGTTGGTCGCTCAAGAAAAGAAGAAATTGTTGGCAGACATCGAAGCCGCACACCTGAAAAGGGACGAGGAGAGGAGACTTGAAATTTTAGAGCGCAGAAATATGATTATAGAAAAGGCACGATTAAATAAATGGTCAGAGAAAGATTCTACAAAAACGCTGTCCAGAAGAGTGAAAATGATAGAGGTGTTTAAAGTAATAAAAAAAAGGAGCGATTATTGCATGCAGAGCAGAACTTGGATGCAGAACGATACAAAAAAGAACGATGGGAACAAAAACTACAAGATGCAAAAACCAAAAAGGATAAATCGGCTATTTTATTAAAACAGTGAGATAGTAAAAATATTTAAAACAAAAATATACCGTGATTTAAACCACGGTATACAAAGCCATAGAGGTATCAATCCTCGATAAGAGATATTATCTCTCGAGAAGATTAAGTATAATTTAATATTGTTCTTTTTTTTTAAGTATAATATTAAAAATATCCATATTATTTATATGGTATAAAATAATAACAATGTGTTTTATTCATTTCATAACTACCTTAGTTTAAATAAATACATGTAAACTCTAATAAAAATATTTGTAGGGATGTTTGAATTATCCTGAGTTAGGATTATTGGTTGGATCTTCAAAAATTGGTGGTTGAGGTCTGAACTGTTCGGCTGACATATGCATGAAAAATAAACCAAATCCTTCGATCATGGCTAATAGTAAACCACCAAAAACAGCACTAGCTGTCATAGCAGGTATCCCATTACGAGCTGCTAATATACCACCGGTCAAAGCTCCACTAGCTATAGAATTCCACGGATCCTCTTTTTTTCTAATTGCTACTAGTGAACAATCAATTGTTGAAAATAATCCTCCCCACACAGCGAAACTGCCTCCTATATTGGGTGCTCTGGTTGCCACGGAATGAAAGGCACCCTAGAAAACAAGATTTGGTTTATATTAAATAAAGTACTTATGACATATCATTTATTTTAGCAAATATTTAAGAATAAAGCAATAAATTTTTAAGATGTCTGATATATCACATGCTATTCAACTTACATTAAAGCGTCTGTTAAATCCAGTGGGTGCATTACGGAAACCTTTGATACTTTGAAAAATACCACCCCCAATAAGACCCATGGCAAAAGCACCACCAAGATCTTCTAATATTCTCATTGGACAAGGCTCTCTTCCGAATTCTTCCATAATATTTTGTTACTTTTTTTAAAATATCTGAAATAGAAACAAAAATTATATTATAATTTCTATAAAGTATAACTTTTCTACATTTAATATAAACATTAACATGAACAAATCAAATAAAAAAAAATATATTTTTATCGTTATAATGTTAATAGTATAATGAATTTCATTGAACAAAATTGTAAAAATAAAAAAAAAAATTAGTAAAAAGGTTAATATTATTTAATCTCTTTTAGGAGATTCTAGGCAGGATCTTTTCAATACTTCTTCAGTTCTATTATTTCGTATATTAAGATTGAATTTATATTTGTTAGATAATTTTAAAACCACTTTAGTTTTTTCTCCACTACATTCATTCCGCATCCTAGGCACCCAGTTATTTTCAGTTTAAGTATGATATATCTCTTTGTACATTTGATTAACGATTACATTAAAATGCAATTTATCTGGATTTAAAAATTTAACAATTTTTCTTAATTCTTTACAACTAGCATGGCTTGAATAAATAACTCTGGTTATACTGTTTTTGACAATTATATGGCCATCTGAGTTAATTAAATCTTTAGTAAATGCTAGAGCATTAAGCTGAACACATTTAACTTTTTCATTTAATTCTAAACAGTTGATACTACCAGTGTCACATTCATTTTTGTAACACACATGTATCATATTATTAGTAAAATCTGGTGTTACATAGTTATCTAAATCTGTTATTGAACTATACGATTCTTCATATTTTGTTTTATGTACAGGTATGGCATTTTTGAAGTGTTTAATAATCTCAACTAAAGCATATTCTACACCTATATATTCAGGCATCCATAATTAAATTTTGTTATTTAAATCTTTGTCTAACCATTCTTTTATCAAATTAGTACTGCTTTCTTTTTTTTGGTAGAAATGTATAATAATTTTTAGAAGCAAAAGTTGTATCTAAATATATAACAATGATATTCTTTTTGGATGATTTTCTATGTCCAAAAGAGATTTAAATTGTTTTAAGTCATCTAGTTGGATACGAAAATCTCCCGTATAAAAAATATGATAGTTTCCTGCCTTAACCAAAAACATCACAGAGCCTGGACAGTGTCCAGTTAGTAATAAAGTTACACAAATATATTCATACTATTCTGAATTCACTTTGAGCAACTGTGGAAAACCAACTTCTAATGGTATAAGTTTGTCTTCATTAAGATTAATAGTTTTATTTCTCTTTAAATATGTTATTGCCAGAGGAGATGCATAAAGAACCATGTTGTTTTTAACATTATTAAAAACCATTTGAAAACAGTGATTTTGTATACCACGCGTGTGATCTTTATGTTAATGAGATAACATAAATGTGCTACAATTTAAAAGTTGACATTCAAAACAATCTATGGTGATAAATGCAAGTTTCTTTTCTTCTAATTTTCCACAAAAAGTAGACATTTTCCTGTAACAAAATATTTAAGAAAATCCAAAAAATGACTACACTATTTATAGTATTTAAGGTATCTAATATTTTGAATGGGTTATAAAGTGATATTTAAAAACCTTAATGTAATAATAACTACTAAAATTGTAATCAAAATTTGGAAAAAATGTTTGCTCGCATTAGATAACATAATAATGTAAAATTATGTCATATTAAAACAAAAATTATTACATTAAAAAAAATCTAATCTGGGTATCCAAATATAATTTAATAATTCATTGGCGATTTCTTGAGTTTTTGAACTACTGGCATATACACTAAATTACCTATTTAATATATTAGTGGTATAATTCAAATACATCAATAAGATCAATATGTTTGTGAGTATATTTAAGGAAACAAATTTCATCTAAAAAATAAAATAATGAGTAAAATTAAGCATTCTTGAATTTTGATCCATTTAATATTTAAAGTTCAACATAATTTATATCTTAGAATCTAAATAATAGGCTAAATTCTAAATAAACTATGTCCTTAATAATAGATGTGACAATGATATTTATAATAGAATGTAATGTTTATATTGGCACCTAAATATTACATATATTTTACTTACGTTTTGCAAATGTTTCTTTTTCAAGAATTATTGGTTTAAGAACTATAGGGAATTGAGATGAACAATAATAATAGTAACAAATATTATTCACTAAAAAAGTTGAAAGCTAAAAAGAACATTTTTATTTCTTATCATTTTTATCAATAATAATATTGTATTTTATGGTTATGTTTAAATCATTTTATCAAATTATCTTACACTGTGGTTATAAAACGATATAATCTCAGAGAGGTTATACAATTTATCGTGATATCATTGACATGCCTGTATACACCACGAATTAAGATCTCAACGAAAATTAAAACCTTATCAACTCACTTATGTACCTATACTGTAAAAAGAAATAATATCACTTGATGCGCATAATAACGTAAAAAGGCTTCGATGTGTTCGAAAATCGTGCAATACGTTTATACGGTTTATAGGTTCGTGAGCTCAACACGAGTCTGAGCTGACAGTGGTTTTCAAAGCATTCAGTCAGGCAGATCCCTAAAAAAAAAATATATATATATATATATGACCAAAAATCGCGGACAATTGTTCTCAGATTCTTGTCTGTATTTTGGGGTTTTTCTCTTAGTCAGCTTTTATACAATAAACTTTTAGTATAGTTTATTTTTGAGTTTTTTCTTTTTTATAAATTATTTAATACTTGGTTATTTAAATTTTTTTTTACAGATAAAATACAATCCAAATTATCACAGTTTAATTTCACGAACATATAATATCTATAAGATTACGAGTTTTCGCCAAATTAATAGACTAATTTTATTTACACAAAAAATAAAAATAAAATAAAATTTACTTCTTTGGCACATAAAAGTGATTTAAGTTGAATATAGTAATTCAGTTGCGTATTTAAGGGTGAGGGGTATTGTGGACATCGTATCCCTTGATTTGTTTTTTAAATTGTTTCTTGAATTCAGAATTATGTAGGTACATTACCCAGGGATTGTTTAACCAATAAGCTGAAAAGATAACAGCCTAGGACGTCGTCAGATGGGGAGGGGCGCAACAAAACAATTTAAAATTTAAATTGATTTCTTTCAAACTTGTATCTCTATAAATCAGTGACCATAGGCGTAGCCAGACCTTTTTTGGGGGAATATGCAAGACCGAGGATTTAATGGATGATGAACAAAAATTTTTTGTAGGTATCCAAGATCATAACTGGAGTGAGGTTCAGTGGTGTACCTAAGTTTTAATAACCCCTCCCCCCCCTTGAAACATCTTTATCAGTAACTATGATACCGATTCACCACCGTGAATGAACTTCAGATACACAATTAATATTGTTAAAATAATACAAAAAACACAACACATTAATATTTAATTTTATTATTATTTATAGGTAGTATAGTATGAGCCTATTCAAACCTTTTTCAATTTACCCAGATTGAATATGAATGTTATAAGTGTTATAATTATGCGTTTAAATTTTTTACTAAATAATTTGACGCAATATATAATGACTAATTTTATAATCGGATCAATTTTATCGAATAAAATAATTATTTCTGATAAGTGCTTCGATTAATCCGAATTTTATTTTTGGGTATACCCTTTATAAAGATAATAAATTTCGTATTTTCATTTAATGGATTGTTAGTTCGTGTTAAATAAAGGAATATATTATTGCATTAATTACAATTCAATTATTTATTAATCTTATTGTTATAAGATAATAATTATTTTAAAATGGCCGGCTATCTTAATTCGTGCCATAGATATATACATATATATTTATATGACAGTCTATTGGTATGCCCGATGTCGAATCGCACCAGATATTAATTACACCAAGGTGGATAAATCCATTTTGATTTATACCTTAGATCGTTTATATGATCCACAGAGTAACTCTTACCCAATGATATGATCTAAGATTTACACAGAGATAAACTCATTTGTATTGAGTTAAAAATCTTTTTTTATTTATTTAAGGCTTCAAATATATCATTTATTAGCCAACAGTGGTTTACAAAATTAGTTTATATATATATGCTCCATTGTTTTAGATGTTCGAGATCGGCTATCTTGATGAAGTCTAATATTCTCTTTTCTTCTCCATTGTTGAATGCTTCTTTGAGTGAGCTTGTGTTTAAAAATTATTCTGCTGCATAAACCACGTTTTTTAAATTTTGTCTATTGATAAAATTCGTTAGGTTTCACCGGTCACAAAATGTGTTACAACAAATTTTGTCGGTTAGACGGCGACTTGTCAATTGTCATATCCCCTCCAGAATTATTATTTCTCCTCGTTAAACCATCAGCGCAGTGATTAGGACAGCATGACATGTTATCATTATTATCGTAGATTCGTAGCCGTTAAAGTTAAGTTTTAAGTTGTCATTGCTGTCCTTGTATCGTTTGCCCTACATAATTAATCTCTTTCTATTATTTTGCAATATTAGGAGGTGGTAAGTCATCTATAAAGAATGCAAATTAATTATTAAACGAATATCTTCACCGCCTCACCGGTTACTATGAAATATGTATTGTAACCGTACCAAAGTGCAACCGGGATATAAATCAATGATAATATTAGTACACATTAAAAGGCCACAGATATAAAACAAAAAATAATAATAATTGTTTTATATATCTGTGCATAAGGCTACGGCATAGATGTATATCATCATTTCAAAGTGTATTAGATGTTGTACCTTTGGTTAGGCTAGGTTAATTGTACAAGGCAGCTATAAGCCCACAACTTAAAATTTCTATTTTTCTCTGCAAAATGCTGGACTGCAACAAGTTGTAGCATAATTAACGCATCCGTGATAAAAATAAAGTAACGAGCGCGTAAAGAAATCGGACGAACTTTATTCAAGCAGATAAATATTTCGGCCGAACCATATTTAATCCGAAAATTACAGCCGACCGTAATAAAGAGATAAGGTCAGATCTTCCAAAAAACGATACCCAACACGTGATGGAAATAAATTAAAATAAGAGAAATTTCGTAGATACATTTTAAAATGAAAAACATTGTCATTAATTTCTTATTTCTAAATTTCGGTGTTGAAATTTTTGATTTCCGTCCACCCGTTGACGAGATATTCTACTTTTTAAGTATGGGTTGGTGGAGTTGGGTGGTGGTACATTATTAATACGTCGCCCACCGTACCGCCATACAAATGACATTCCTCTAGTCTCCTCCAACCAAACTTAAAAGTGGAAAATCTTGTCAACGGGTTGACAGAAATCAAAAATTTCAACACCTAAATTTATTTTAAATAATACTCCATCTATTTAAGAAATTTTCAAAATAGGTTGCTATTTGAAAATCAAAAGTAGACAGTCACTTACCCCCAATAATAAGAGGTACAAAAAATAATGATAACGTAACATACTAAAACTATTTGATTCTTAAGTTTTCAAAAAAAAAAAATTCGAAAAATGTTAATACTTTCCGAGATAATGAGTGTTTCAAGTTGAGTGAATCGCCCTGTAAAAACCAATCAAACACAAATTACAAGTTAATTGCATCATAATTTACAGTTTTTGTTTAATTCTGTGGACTATTAGACTCAAAAATAACTTTTAAAACAAAAGAAACCATTATAAAAACACTTACTATAACATTAAAAATACAAATGTTTTTGTGTAAATAAATATAATAAGTCTATTAAACATTTTTATTTAATATAGGTAATTTATATTAAGTATAACATATTATATTATATAAAGTAGTTTTATGTTATACAAAATTAAATGTTAACCGCAATTAAATATATACATTAAAAAGCTAGATATAACCATAAATACTAGAGATCTCTTATGTGGCTATGTAAAACATGACTTTAAAATTTATATTCTGATTGGGTTTATAATATGTTATTTGTGTATACATGTATGTATTTTCCAGTTCTGTGGGACGGAAAGTCAGTGTGAAACATTGATAAAATATTCTTGTAGTTTCTATCTGATAAAAATGTTTGCAATTTGTTTGATAGTATATCAAACATGACTATATATGTTGGTAATTTTCTACCAATTTTAGATGACGAATATGACTCTTCAAGCCATTTTATTGGATTTTCAAAAAAAATATCTGCTTCATCTGTATAATTAGATGTATCATGTAGGTTTGGTTCACATGTTAAAATTCTTGTGGTTATATTCGAATGGAGATGACTGTAAAGTGGAGTTGAATGGCATGGCATAAGAAATAATAACGTTGAATTTTGTGGTATAGCAGCTAAATGATACATAACACTAGTAGATCCTATTTGATGATATCGTCCCAAATAAATCAATACTATGGTATTCAGTATAATAATGAAATACGCTAATTTTCTAAACAAATTACAAACTATAAAAATTTGTTGTGATGTAACAAAGAATATCATTGGAATTAATGGCAATAAAAATCTTTGTTCCTTATGAGATATCATACTAAACACTAATAGAGTCCATAATATTGTAATTATCAATTTGATGTCAGTATCAATTCGATTGATATGTTTTAAATTTTTAAAAGCCGTATAGGCGAATATTAAAAATATAGGTCCCAATAATGGTGGTAATCCGATGATGAAATACCAAAACCAATGTTGGATTGAATAATGAGTGTTGATTTTTTTAAAAATATTATAGTACAAGAAGTTCCACTGTGTAATAACAAAAGAACCGTGTAGGTAACTGTCTAACATTATCGAAAATGAAAGTGCCATAAAACCGATAAAAATATATCTTGTTAGATGAATTACACTGTAACGTTTATGAGCAAAAAAATCAAACATAATCAATGGTAGCCATACTATTATTGCAGTTGGTCGCATTATACAAACAAATGCAACTATCCATAAAAATTTTACATCTTTATTTTTCAAAGACCATGGATAATAATACAAAGCTATTGTTGTCAAATTTGTTTCTAAGGTATTTACCAAAGTACGCGTTGAACAGTAGGCAAAAAATGGACATGACATATAACATACAACTGACCAAAATATATTTGAACATTTAGAGTGTTTTTGTATCCACCGCACAAAACAATAATCTGAGAATGTTGAAAAAAGTGTTTGTAGAAAGCGTGGAGTCCATATTAAAAGTTGTACAGTATCCATGGAGAAAAATTGCAATGTCTTGTACACAATTACAATCCAAGAAATAGATATATAGCTTCTTATACCGACTATCCATTCCCAGGTGCGATAACCAAAACCAAAAGTAATATAATGAGCAATCTCTAAGGACTGCCAGTATTCATCTGGTACATACCACGAACGAACAATGTATAGATGACATAATCTTATGGTCAATAATGATACACTCACAATTAACAGAGTCGGATTTTTCATTTTTCAATATGAGGATTTGAATATTCATGCAACATAATTTATCAATAATTATTCTTCTTATTTTAGTTTACAAATCTGAAAAAAAATATCAATAATGGTATTTGATAAAATATTTACTTTTATTAACTTGGTGGGAAGACAATAAAGTAAATGTTAATACATATGTATGTTGATAGTTGAATAAGTAACTATAGCTTGTGTATTATGAGAAGATTAAATAATTTTTTAGCTAAAAATGTTTTTATTCAAACTTTAAAAATACATAATATGTAAGAAATAAAAATAGGAAATTTTATTTACCATTAATTTATTAACATAAAATAATATATAACTGCTAAGTACCAATATGTTCCATTATTAATTGTACAAAGTTAAATTTTTCGAATTAAAAATGTATATCATATACTTAGGTACTTACAATTAATAAAATACCTGATTATTATTATATTTGAATATTTAATATGAATATATTCTCGTTTGAAAAAAAATAACATGTTTTAATTTTTTATTAGTATAATAGTGGTCACCAATTTTCTCTATTTAATATTTATTCATTTTTCCATCAAGTACAAAATAGTAAATTGTAAAAAGTACTTGTGAGGTGATTTTGTTCAAAATAATTCTCACATTCTTATCTTATCTTATATTTACTCGGTGACACACCGTATCACGGTTTGTGCACCGTATCATAGTCACTGCACGGTATATAATCTGATATTTGATATCTTTTATCTGTTATCAATTGTATTATCAACTTGCACGTGGTTTTGAAAACAAATATCACACAATTAATATTATTTATTTACATAAAGAAATAATTTTTAATTTTGGATTCGTGTATACGTAGTTTTGTACTTTCGTAGTTCCATTCAAGTAAGATTTGGCTATTGAAAAAGTATTAGTTTTAAATTTAAATTATTTACTTTTAAATTTTGTATTGAAATTTATTCCAAATGATAATATTATAATATCATTTGGTTACAGGTGAGAAATGGACGACGAAGGACTTATTGGATTTAGCGATACAGCTATAATAAAGCCTGAGTTAAAACAAAAGAATGGCAAGAGATCAGGGGGTTTTCAAGCCATGGGCCTAAGTTTCCCCGTATTAAAAGGCGTTCTTAAGAGGGGCTATAAAGTACCTACACCAATACAAAGAAAAGTGTGGTTAAATAAAATTACTTTTTCTTCTGAAATAATCTATATATTTGTGTTATTTGAATTCAGACGATACCAATTGCTTTAGAAAACCGTGATGTTGTGGCTATGGCTAGAACAGGTAGTGGAAAAACTGCTTGTTTTTTAATACCGATGTTTGAAAAATTGACTCAACACACTGTTAACGGCCATCGAGGCATTCGTGCTTTAATTTTATCACCGACTCGTGAACTTGCTGTACAGGTATTATTTTTTTATTGAATATAAATTAAATATTTTCAGAAGAACAACAGTTTTTTTAATCATACCATACCTATAGTATCATAATAATGTTTTTACTACTAAAACCAAGTCAATTTCTATATATTCACAATAATTTGGACCTTTTGGAGTCTTTTAATGTTCTTGTATTAATACTTGTATTCAATGTTACATATTTTTAGTTTTATAAGTATTATAACTATGTTTTAGACGCTAAAGTTTGTAAAAGAAATAGGAAAATTTACCAATTTAAAATCAGCTGTGATACTAGGAGGTGATCCAATGGAAGCACAGTTTAGTATAATGCACAGTGCTCCAGATATTGTAGTAGCAACTCCAGGTCGATTTTTACATTTATGTGTAGAAATGACATTAAAATTGCCATACATTCAGTATGTTGTATTTGACGAAGCAGATAGGCAAGTTATTTTTATTAACTTATTTCATATATATATATATTGATATTATTATATTAATAAATGGTATATTAACTATTTAATCATAGGCTTTTTGAAATGGGTTTTGGTGAACAATTAACAGAAATTATTGCTCGTCTACCAGAGACTAGACAAACATTACTGTTTTCAGCTACTTTACCAAAAGTTTTAGTACAATTTGCTCGGGCTGGACTTTCTGATCCTGTTTTAATAAGGTAAATAGTATATTATTAGTGTAAATTGTTGAAAATATAATTAGTTAATCTTTATTTTAATTATTCACCAATAATGTACTTAAAATTTTAGATTGGATGTTGAGTCAAAAATACCTGATACTCTAGGATTAGGATTCCTTAGTGTGCGTCCTGAAGAACGAGATGCTGCTTTATTATGTCTTTTAAAATATGTTGTTAAACCAGATTCTATGACTATAATTTTTGCTCCGACCAAACATCACGTTGACTTTATTCATTTAGTAAGTTATAGTTATTCTTAAATAATATGGTTACAAATTCATTCTAGTATTATATATACTTAATATTTAGTAGCCTTTACCATATATGATAAATTAGAGTATTAATATCTATATATATATTTATTTTAGCTTTTGGATTTTCATGAGATATCAAATACATTTATATACTCTGATTTAGATCCAACAGCCAGAAAAATAAATGCTAGTAAATTTCAAACAGGTACTGTGCGGACACTTGTAGTTACTGATATAGCAGCTCGTGGTATAGATATTCCACAATTGGATGTTGTTATAAATTATACATTTCCAGCCAAATCTAAATTATTTGTGCATAGAGTTGGTATGTAAAGTAGTGAAAAATAAAATACATTAGTGTTCAATAGAATCATAACTTTTCTAATAGGACGATGTGCTCGAGCTGGAAAGTCAGGACAAGCATACAGTCTAGTAACTCGTGATGAAATGTGCTACTTATTAGATCTACATTTGTTCTTGGGTCGTCCATTTAGTCCTGTGTTTGATACTCCAAAATCAGATGATGATATTGATGGTCTTTTTGGTATAGTTCCACAACTATTGATAGAGGAAGAACTTGGACAATTAACTAGTTGGTATACATCAACTATTGAAGTGGTATGTTTAATAATATACACACCCAATTAAAAAATATAATGTTAAATATATGTTGTGTTCCAATAGATTAATTCTCAAAAGACTTGTGTAAATGGCTATAAAAATTATATCAAGTCTAGACCAGGAGCATCAGTTGATAGTGTACGGAGAGCAAAAAAGATAGACCTTACTGCTATTGCTGAACATCCAATGTTTAATAAAGTAATAGCATCAGATATGGGACGAATAGATTTTGTTAGTCGTATAAAGAACTTTAGACCAGACACTGTAAGTTTTTGTTTGCAACTTATTTTGTGCTATCTATTATAAGACAAAATAATACATGTTTAATTACTATCAAAACTGAATGTTTTCATTATTTATGTTGTTTATATTTATATAAATATTTAATGAGATAATATAATACTATTTAGGTATAATGAAATATAAATATTTTATTCTTTTATAGACTGTTTTTGAGATGGGCCAGTCTACAAACTCAATACAATCAATTCAAATGAAACTGTTAAGAGAGAGAAATTTACCTAGTGTTATTAACTATCACCGAAAAAAACGTGAACAATTAATGGACCCTGAAGGTATGCAGTTAAAAAAAGTTGATTTACCTTGTAGTAACCAATCTGAAATTAGAGAAACATTTAATGACATTATCACACAAAGACCCCGTGTAACTGGTCAAAAAAAGAGGCAAAAACCAAAACTAAAACAAAAACCAAAATCATCTGAGAAATCTGAACATTTCATACCATATAAACCAGCAGATGCTTACACAGAAGAAGGGTAAGTGAAGGATTATAATTTTTTTTTTAATGTTACAACATTTTTTTATTTTTTATTTTTACTTTGATTCATAATTAAAATTATTATTTTATTTTAGATTGGCTGTTGGTGAATTGAAATCAACTGAAGGAATATTAGATTTAATGGGCGATTCAGAACAGTCATTAGCCAAACAACGTACAAATAAACGTAAATGGGATCCAGTAAGTCATAAGTATGTGAGTGCACAGAGCCTTGAAAAGAAACAAGTAAAAAAAATTAAATCCGAGTCTGGACAATGGATACCAATCACTTATAAAAGTGATAGGTATGAAAAATGGCAAGAAAAATCCAAATTGAAGAATTCAGTTTCTGAAGAAAAAGATGAAGAAGAAGAGAAAAAAATAGCACCACGTGAGTATTTATTAAAAGCAAATTTATTAATCTTATATAATATAATATTAATTAACATCAATTCTTCATCATTATAATCAGTGATTTTAATTATTATGTAAAAATATCAATTCTGAGTTCCTAAAGTAAATTTCACAACATTCGATACAAAAATAGTACTATGGTGAATAAACCTAACACTTGTTAAATCAAATTGTGAGTTTATAATCCAATAAACATTACTTCAGCATATATTCTAGTCCCCCTATAAGTTAATAATATTTTTCATCTACAGAGTCAAAAATAATTATTATAGGTTACTTTTTAGAATTTTTAAAAATCATTAATTGAGTCCTCTCTAACAGACGATTAGGAACTTGCATTGTATGCTATCTACATGAAGGTTGATCGCATTGTATGTTATCTATGTCTCAGACGATACATGTGGGTCAGACATTGACAGTGTGCTCTTATGTCGTAGTTATAGTTATTATTATTTTTTTTACAAAATTTTGTTTTGATAATAATAAGAATTAAAAGTCGTTTTCAGACGTCGAAAAAAAAAACCCAAAAGGGATAGTGTAGATTGTGGTTACGGTAGATATGTTTTCAATGTAGCCTACAGTGCAAGTTCCGAATAATAATAAATTATTTTGTCAAAACTAAAAAATAGCTTATTTATTAGATTTTATATCTATACAATCATAAAGTTCTAAATCAAATATTTTAATTTTACACAGTGAAAAGATCAAAATAAATTTTATTATTTTAATTTGAACATTTCCTTCAAACTAAAATTATTGTGCTTGAAAATTATGAGACAGAGTAAAGTTTTACTCTTGTTTCAAAATTTTCCATCAAAATAATAATTATTTGGCCATCCTATTTTTATATTAAAATTATATCGCTATTTCGTTAATATTAATTACACAGTGGTAAACATTTATATTTTTCTCCTTAGTGTTCCGATTTAGATTAGACACTCGTTGGGGTCGTCATAATGCTAAATTACGGGAAAAGCAATCTGAACACCGTCTCAAACTGGACACCAAACACATATTAAAACAGAGAATAATTAAGGAGCACCGTCGACAGAAGAATGGTAGAAAACCCGTGAAAAAAGATAAGATTAAAAAGAAGAGTGCTAAATTTAATAAATTTTAAATTGTAAGTGTCATTTTCATAATAAAATTTTCATGGTTTATGTGTAATCATGTTTATTGTAATATTCTTATATTATATAGTATATTAAAAAATAATATGATATGTTACATCCAGTGAACGAATTCTATTGACCAAAATAATTTTAAACTTCATATTTTTACAATTTTATAAAGAGCTGAATTTGTTCTGAATAAAAATACATTTTAAGGTTAAAATGTAAATGGTTTAATTTAAAATTATGATTATAAATGTCTATTAACTTAAAAGTTTTTGCGATTAATATAATAATAATATAATTAAATGCTTTGTGTTTATTATATTTTAACTTATAACATTTTTCATAATTTTACAGACATCGATTAGTGTTAAATTAATTTGAAATTTATGTTTACCTCATTATCAAGGATTAAAACTTTTAAAGCTTAAAAATACTGAAAAATGTGTATAAATATATATTAAAAAATAGTAAAATATGGGATTTTATATTTTATTTCACGTATTTACAGGCTGTCCTTTAACAGAGATTTATTACAGTTTCATTATGTATTAAATAGAGAAGTGTACAAGACAATAATAGTTCAGAAATTTTAAAAAACTAACAACAACAGAAATTAGATATAAATAGAAAGTAAAATTAGGGTCTGCATTGTCGCTAGACATTAATTGTTTTAGGGCAAGAGTGGCAAATTATTTTGACAAAAAATGTAAAATTGTGATGCTATTATTTATTATTGAAATTAAAAATAAAAATATAATATAAATATTTAAATTTTTTGTGTGCCCTCAAAATTTTTTCACATGTCATAGATTTGCCATCCCTGTCTTAGGGACTTGCTAGTCATTTGCTAAATAATTATTAGTGGCATGCGGGATGTAAAAGAGTAACGCATCTGATTGAACATTGAGGAACCTTAAAATAAAAATAAAACTAGATGATTTAACTTTGCTATTCAATAACCTTTCACTGAACCTAATACCCGAAATATGCCTGCGCTCAGCTAAAGAAGATAGGCAAAGAACATTAGCTATCTTTGTATAATTGTTTGGAGGACAAGGCATTTTTAACATGTAACTTTGCAAATTGCAAAAACTTTTGTTGGCCACACTCTAGCTGATTTGAATTGTAGACTGAATGAGGATCCTAGACAACACAACCATATTCAAGCACTAGGTGGACAATGACATAATATAACGTTTTAATAAAAGTACCAAGTTGGACATCCTTAAACAGCCTCATAAAATAACCTAGCATTTTAAATACCTTATAGCATATATGTTCAGTGTGAGAATTAGGATTAAGGTTAGAACTTGACACTTAGAGAGATTAATTATCAATAGTGCTTACTTGCATAAAGAAGTTGATGTCATCGTTGAAATAGAGAATATGACAGTGGCACAAAACTTGAAGAACTATGTTGATGAATAGAGGAAAAAGAAGGGGAGACAGATGATGACTCTTTTGGAGGACACAAGATATAACTGAAAATAGTTTAAACTTAATTCCAAACATGTTTACCAATTGATATCTGCCATTTAGATAGGACCTGAACCAAGACAGAAAGGAGTCACCAAACCCACATTCATTAAGTACATTAATAAGAACTTTATAGTTTACTGAATCAAAAGATTTTTTTTTAAAATCTGTGTATATTACATAAACCTGAGACCTGAAACTGAATTAAAAATATAACTATAGAACAGGAGATAGCTAGTGGTAGTAGAGTGGACCAGGGTGAAAGCCATGCTACTCATCAATAAGAATATGATTGATAGATGGTTGGAGAGCATTTAAGACAAGAAACTCAAATATTTTTGAAACACAAGATTGTATTGAAATAGGTCAGTGGTTGGGAACAATAGAAGGCTACTACTTTTGGGGGATGTGTAACAAAGCTGAACTCAAGTAGGAAAGAAAAAATACCTTCATCAAGCGAGCACATAAACCTAAGTGGGTATGCCGATAATGACCTTAGCTTAAGTAAAAACGATCCAGCTAGACCATTAGGTCTAACATACTAGACACCACATATTAATGTATGTATTAAAAAGATATATATCTTTGAATGTATTTAAAAAATACTATAGACATTTAAGTATTAACAGGGTCAACTCTATACTATCCTAACCTAACATATATTTGTGTCTATATGTAGCATCTAATCTATAGGGGGCACAATCAAAGACAACTGCCACAGCAGTTCTAGAAAGATGCAAATTATACTGCTGTAAAGTTCAGTATACCTACTTCGTAATACAAAGTACATTTGTTAAAATATTGAGTTAATTTTGGAGTATACAAAAAAATTCAATATAATAAGTGATAAGTAATATTGAAAATTGTATAATATAATATGGTATTTTAAGGTACAAATAGCCCAAATGTTTTTAAATTTTTTTTGAGACGAGGGTTGGATTTCAGTTCTCGTCATACTAATGATTATGTATAAGTACTAAGTATTTACTTGATTTGGGTTCTCGACTAAGTTTTATGGGTAAAGCTCCCCTATTTGTGCCAATGAGGCGCAGTACTTACAATTTTCTATTAGAAGTTTTTGGCTATTATGGAGTTATGGCACTGTTGAATATTAAATGCAAGTTCGATATCTAGGTGTAATTATATTTATTTTTTTTTCGTTACACCAACTATTTAGAGATGTGTATTGTTATTGTCTATTCGATACACTGTATTTTAATATATTATGTATACTCGATTACAATGATTACAATATGGTTGGTGACTGAAAGACCAAAAATTGTTTCGGGCATTTTAAAAATTTAAACGCAATGTACTAATATATTTTTTTAAGTTATATTAGTACGTGTCCATATTTTGATAACTGTACGAATATACGGCGTGCGATTCTTCATCATGAACCAGAGATCTTCTCGGATAATTTTAGGAAGATATGTTTTTTATGTTTTTAAAACTATTATGGAGTTGATTAAGTTATTTAAATTTAAAAAAAAATAGTATCTATTAACCTCTAGGTAATTTTAATAATGAGTATTAACATGATTTTCAAATTGCAACCTATACCATATTCAACATTAATTCGTAAAAAAAATTATATTTTTCTTAATATTTTGATACTGAAATCACTAATATTGAATATTTACCATTGGGTATAATATGAGTTGTAAACGTTTTCGAATGCGATTTGAAAAGAAGGAAGGTCGTTGCTATTTGAATATTCTATATTTGCTATTCTATAACAATTGAATAAAACCAAAACCAACATTATTAGAAATCTTCGAAGATAATCTCTGGATCATAAAAAAAAATAATAAACCACTCTGTACGAATGAGAATATACGAAAACAATAATAATAATTAAACAAGACGTTTTTAATGTCAGTTATAAATTTAAAAATATCAAACAAACTTCTAATTTATATAGAAGCGAATAAATTTAATATAAAACATCAAAATATTAAATACGACTCGTTTGAATTCACAAGTTATTATTTTTTTTTTTCTCAATAAATTAAAAAGGACAACAGCACATCGTTCCGCCGTGAATAATGTATATAGATAGATGGAGCGATATCGATTATCCGTATCATTAATAATATACTTAAATACTTAACAACCTATACATAAACTTCCTCTGGTGTTTATTTATATATTTTGTCCTGTACAAACAAACAGTATTTAAATAGTACAATTAAATGGTTTGGTTTTTTTTTTTTTTTTTTTACATTGAGGCAGAAGTATAATAATATTATAATTTAAATTATTTTTTTGGATTTGGTCTTTCAGACATCGTATTTGTAATAATAAACGGAATTATTCTTCTTCCTCTTCCTCCTCCTCTTCCTCCTCTTCCTCCTCCTCCTCTTCTTCCTCTTCCTCTTCTTCTTCTTCCTCCTCCTCTTCTTCTTCTTCTTCGACCTGTATACGAAAAAAAAAACCGTTATTATTACACGTAATACTAGTTCAAGACAATAATATTAAGATTGAGAATCGCGGTGCATTTGATATACCTCTTCCTCGACTTCGTCTTCGTCGAGAAGGAATTCCGGTTCTTCGTCTTCCTCGTTCTTTTTTAGTTCCTCTTCTTCGGGCGTTTCGGGATCGTCCTTCTTTTTGCCCGGACGTTCACCGAACCACTTCGGTAGCCGTCCTGTAAACACACGCGCGTCCGACCCATGAAAACAACAGCGCACACGTGACGCGCTCGTTGCTGCAGCAGCGCATGCGGTTAATATAAAATGTACATTCTAATATTTACCGTAAACCATTTGCATACTCCAAACAAACCAAAATGGTAATAATAAAACAAATCGGAAACTGAATAAATGCTCGATGGCTCAAAACTTAAACGGAACAATAACACGGTAGATAATATTATAAAAGTACCTAATTAAAAACCTATAGGTACAGTGTCCCACGAAGATATACCCATTGTAATATTCCCGGGGGGTAATAAAGACAATCAAATTCCGTTTTTGGTATATTAATCATATGGACCAAGAACTACAAATACATATATTTCAATTAATTATCTTTGTTTTGATAAAAAAAACTTAAAAAAAATAACCTTATTTTGTTTGAGAAAAAATTTGAAGATATTCATTTTATAGAGTTTATTCTTCTGAAATTTTTGACGTATAAGTTTTTTATTTTTATTAAATTCGTGATTTTCAATAATTTGTTCAAAGTTTAAAGAAAAAGTTTACAGTAAATTAGCCATTATAATAATAATCAATTAGCGAATGCGGTCGCAGCATAATTTATTATAGGTACTTTTCTCTAAACTATAAACATTTATTAAAAATCACTATAAAAGTTATTTTTTAAATTTTTTACCTAAATATAACAATTTAATTCAAATATAAATATTTGTAATCCTTATACATGCGAGTAATATAACAAAAACGGAATTTGATAATCTTTATTATCTCCGGAGACATTACAATGGGTACATGTTCGTGGGGCACCCTGTATATTGTTTGTTTTTATTGTTCACAGGCTTGCGGCCCAATTTTCATGTACATTTTTAATGTAATATTAACAGTATTTATGGATAGCGTTATGAGACATCGAGTATCTACAGTAATAATTATAATGTTATGAATTTACGATTTTACCTTGTCGTCGAAAGTATATACATCAAATAATATGTGCAAGTGCACGAGAATTAGTTTGTTTTCATTCGGTAGAGCGGTATTTTTTAAATTTAAATAATTTTTGATTTTTACAAGTTCGCGAAAATATTTCAGCTAATTTATAATCGACGTTATTTTATAATTTATTAATGAAATATAATTATGATTTTATAAATTCTTTGTTTTAATAGTAAATTATTGTTGTTACATACAATTAAAACGTGTCTACGTCAGAGAAAAAAAAAATTAAATATTTTTCAAGTTGAAAATTACCCTTTTCCTCCCATTTTTAGTTTAGAATGATTATAAATGGGTTCTTAGCAGCGTTAAAATGTATGAAATTATTATTCACTATTCAAATAATACCTACACACGATATAGGTACCTACGTAATACGTCGACGACGGGTTTTTACTTACCCTTAGCGCGGCCACCAAATTGGTCACTCCTTTCGGTCCATTGTTTTTCCATTGACTCTTTAGTCGATTCCATGTAACCCTAAAAATGAAAATAAAAAAAAGGGCTGGGTAACGTGCATGCAGGTACGAAAACTTAAAACCGGGGTTTAATACTAGGAACTACAATTATTGCAAGTACATAGGTGCAAATAATATCTAGATTCGGAGATCGATTTGGGTGAATAATATTATTGGTAAACACATCGGTGGAAATATTTTACAGCGTGCTGGGCAACAGTTATAGGTTTTCTGGCCGTGAAAACAGCTATAATAGGTACATTCGCTACAGATTTACGTACTTCTACTTCTTTTCATGAATTGTTCGTATTTATGGTTCCAGTTAAATTCGTTCTTTTCACCTATCAACTCTTCCAAACCCTAGTATTTTGGTAACATCTCTGTATAGATCAACATTCGTTTTAACGATAATATAAAATACTTGTACACTTACTCCTTCGAAAAGCTTTTTTTTGTCGTCGTAGGACCTCGTGTCCACTCGCCTCTCGTATTTGGAAGCGACTTGGATTTTGGGCTACACAAAAAATGAATATATTTGTGATCGGTATGCTATCAATAATAATGGTGTAGGCATACTTACTGGGTATTTACCGGTCAAGGCTTCTGGGTCAAGACCCTTCTTCAAGGCCTTGTGACGGAGCTGTTGCTTTTGACGTTCTTTCAACTCTTTCAACTGAAAAACATTTAAAATTATTATGAAAGTTTGCTTGTTCCGAAATAATTATAGAATTCTTACGTCGTAGTCTTGTCTTTTCTGTCTTTCCTCCAGATCGTACTTTTCTGTTTCCAGCTTAATAATCTGGTCCCACAATTCAGTGGCTTTGAATTGGAGTTTTTGCGCGGAGAACCCTTCGATGTTCAAAGGTTTAATTCTGAAACTCAACGATATTTTCTTTTCTTCTTCGATCTGTTCTCTGGTCTTGTTTCGTTCGAGTTGGGCTGATGTCATACTTAACGCCTTTACATAAGGATATAATCCAAAATTAAAACCTCAGTATTTTAATATAATATAATATTATCATTTTATTGTAATAAAATATATTGTTGAGAATATGACAAATTAATCGAGATATATCAACTTACGCCTTCTTTTTTGCTGATGGTGAAATTTGGTCCTTTCGACTTGTTGGTCTGTTCCTTGAGGGCGGCCATCATGGCTTGACGTTTTTTCTCGGCCTCTTCCAGGCGTTTACGTTTTTCCTCAATATCCTTCTGTTTCTTTTCTTCGACTTCTCTTTGCCTGCGTTCCTCTTCTTGCTTCTTTCTCTCGGCCATTCTTTTTTCTTCTTCTGCGCGCATCACCTTCCGTTTGGCCTGTTTTTCCTTTAATTTTTTCAAGTCGTCCTCCTCCTTTGACCGTTGTTTGCGCCATTCTTGAATGTACTCTTTAAGCTGTTCGTCTAAGGCTGAGGATTTCAATTCTTGCCTCTGATAAAATTGAAACAAAACCGTTTGTAAATAACAAAAATCATCGCAAAACTGTAGTTGCCATTTAGTAAAATTGAATAAATAATTATTACCTTAACAAATTCGGGATCTCCATCTCCGCTAAAGTTTCCGAAAAAAAAAAAACCAAAAAAACAAAAACAGATTATTCACTAATCATAATAACAATCAATTTGTGTTTTTCTTCAATTTTTAATGGGTTGATGACACTCTGTTACTTTTTCCTGCGGGGGGCGTGTTATTTATAATTTGTGATTAATAAATGGGTCATTTGAATTTTGGCAACAGTAAACTGTAACAGGATATATTGTCAGAATAAAAATAATTTTTAGTAACGATGCCATGTGGCCTATCGCCAGGCAAAATAAATGGTCAGACATGCAAAATTTATTGTTAAAAAAAAAAAAAATTGCACACAAAATCAGTTTTTATATATTGTTTATACTTCAAAAGACATTTATAATTAAAACATTTTAAAATCATTCTAAATATACCAAACATCTAAATATTAAATACTAGCTAATATTTTAGATTATACATATACTAATGTTTCTATTATAACGTTTCTAATTTCAAATCAACTAAACAAATATATTGTTCCATCTACATTCTAATTTTTCTACGAAAACAGTATTGCTTAAACTAAAGGCTTATGTATCGATTGTCTGCACTAAGCCTTTTCTACTTTCTACTATAGAATCAACTTAGATTTAATACACATGTTTTACTTTTTACTCCCAATGCAGTAAACTTACTCTTTGCTTTTTTCAGGCTCCGGTTGCCTGCGCCAAAAATTGACGATTTAGATAAATTCCAAGAATATCACAAAATATAGAGTGTACAAACGTCCATAATGTATTTCTAATTAGTTAATTTGGGAACTTTCAAAGAAGTAGGTGACAGATATTATGTTTAGTTCAAAAGTACCTATTAAAAATGTTGTGTTTTTTAAATACAAAAATACCTTTGGCTATATTTAGGACAATAATTAATGAAATTTAAAATATTTGTACACTCCATTATAATAATTAAGGAATAAGCCAAATAAACAATTCGGGTGCTCAATACACAAAATCATTTGGCTTATAACATATTTACAATTAAGATAAGCGTGCAAAAATAAGCAAATTCAAGCAAAAAAAAAAAAAAAAATAAAATCAAGTGACTGGAAATTTAAATTAAAATCACAAGTGAAGAATTCCTTGGCAAAAGTTAAAAATATAACTGTATATATATACACATATATTTGTTTTACTATACATTTTAAGTTCTTGTCACTGAGTTCATTTTTAGCTCAAATTGTATGTACAATGCATTTGAAACAATATTGTTCACCCAGACTCTCAATCATGATTTATAAATAATTGTTTTTATCTTTATCCAACTATACACGCGAGTAATTCGTCGAAATTCCTTTCAAATGCTTTTGCAATAGCGATTTATAAGCGAACAAATTATAATTAACAAAATTTGAAACTTACGTTTCCTCTTCGGAATCACTGAAACATAATATTTTCCATGTAAAATGTATATCACATATAAATTTAATAATTATTAATGACACAGAAATAATCACACGCCTTCCTACTACGTGGTTTGAAGGGTAAAAATTTAAGTCGACAAAACATACGAATTTCGGGATTATTATAATAGTAAATTATATATCTATTGTAACTACGGTTTGGAAGCAAACGATATTCTGCAGAATGCCCATTTTTGCTCGTTCGTCGAATGTTTGTTTTGAACGCTATGTAACTACTTATACTTATTATTGTTGTCTAATTCAAATTTATACAGAAACGTAATTTCTTATTGTTTTGTGAGTTATAATTTGCATGCAAGTCGATTGATCGAAAAAAAAAAAAAAAAAAACTATTGGATATTTGGGGATAAACAAAAAACAATGATGCACAATTCGAGTAATATCGGCGGAGGAAGGGTTCGTGTAACTGGAACGGAATAGGAATATAAAATGCATATGTTCATTAACGTAATAGAATATTTATTATGTTAGGTATGCTATCACGCACCATTATATAGGCACATTTTTTTTTTTTGCATGAAATAGAATTTATATCAAAGACAACAATAAATGATTATATCGAGTTCATTAATAATGTAGATAAAAATAAAAAAAAAAAATAAATCGTTTGAAAATTAAAAATAGTAAACTAGATACCTATTAATTTTTACCAATTATATTTGGGTTTAATGTAAGAATGTAATACGATGCACGAAATATGAATGTTTAATACGTTTTCGAATCGACTAATATTAATATGCATCATATATTTCAGTTTTTGTTTTGCGCAGTGTCTGCGGGAGCTCATTACGCCAATAAAAATGTTTAACTAAAATAGTCGATGTATTGAAAACCACCGGGTTGTCAACGAAAATCAAACAGAAAAAAAACCGATGCCCATTTCCATATTGAATCGAAAAGTACGTCTGTAGCGTATGAAATAGTTGTTATTAGGTATGTATGTTAGGTACGTAGGAATCGAGAAAACGACTTACGTGTATACTTCTTCTTCGTCAGACATGGTTAATAGTGTTTCTTGGGCCTAGTCTCTGTAAAATCGAAAATAAATTTAAAACCGATCCGTTTGGAATTCAATATCACGGGCGGGGGAGGGGGAAATTATTATTAAAAAAAAAAAAAAAAAACAAAAACAAAAATCCGTTTTACCGGTTCCCGAGCGAGTAATTTTATTTGAAAACGGATTTCTCGAAGAAACGCGGACGGACGTTCAATTCGGAAAATATGTGGGAGGGATCGGCGGATCCCGTTGATATTTTTAGCCGCTGCCGGTTCGGGCTGCCAACATTGCCTTTTTACGACCCACAAAATCCGGACGCGTCTATTTTTATATACGCGCCGGCGTATTATGTTATACAGAGTAGCGAACTGTATCCATACGAGTTTCGGGGAGCGCGGCCATATTATTGCGGACCCGTCGCGTCATGCGATACGCTGAACGGACAGTTTTTTATCCCTCCCCCCCCCCGATTTATCGGCGAAATTTGCGCGCCGCACTCGCGCGTCATACCGCCGGTGTCCCGGGGGCGGAGGACTCGAGTTAATTGTCGGCGTTTTTAATAATGTCTTCGCGATTTCGTCTAATGTCGTGTACTTTTCCAGCCAGACGATTTTTCGTTTTGTTATTAACAAAGAAAAAAAAAAAAGGGGGGGGGGTATTAAGTGTAATTATAATAAAGTTCGGCGGTTTTTTTTTTTTAATAATCGATATATTTGTAATGTTACAATGGTTGTATCTGCGGCGTCCGAGAGTACGATAAATCCTGCAGACGGTGACGATACACGAATAATTATTGCGAAAAAAAGCCAAATAAAAAGTAGTTTCGGAAGTCTAAAAAGTAAATAAATAGGTAATACGCGTATTACGTGTGGGTATATATTAAAAAACAAAAAAAAAAAAAAAAAAAAAAAAAAACGAGTTCAAGTTGCGGACGACAATACGAATAAAATTGTGTTGTTATTGTATACGAACCGAAAAGAAAAAATACGTTAATACGAATTACCAAATCACCGCGATCGGCCCAACGCGTTTTATACAAATCGAATTGTTGTTCATCTACAAGTACACACGCGAAACACGAGTTATCATCGCGACACGTAATCCGGAAGGGTTAGAATCGCGAGAAAATTATTATTTATTTTTTATTTTTGTTAAATAAAAATACATTGTACATTTATATTATATCGAGCGATACAATATCTTTTTAGAAAATAGTATTTGATGAAGATGATGTACTTACAAAAAATGTAATATGTATACCGACGGAGGTCCCACAAACGTCTGTGGCCAACTGATAGAGTTCGGGATCGCCAATTAAGCTCCTCGTCCCCACCCAGGCCGCGCTCGCGGACGGAAATCTATCCGGGATATTTTTGGCATTCCAGTTGTCATATAAACATAATTGTTTGGATGGAAAATGTAGAGAGAAAAAAAAAAAAACCACCATTCGATATCCTTTCGGCTAGAGTATAGTGGCGGCGGCGGCGGCGGCGGGGGGGGGGGGGGGCGGAGGGAGGGACTCAAAAGTGTGTCAAAATATTAACGAACTGACTGGCCGGTATTATTATTATACAAATCCGTATACACACATAGTACGTCGAGTATGCCGAGTTTTATTTTAGAATATTCCCAGCGTGTATATATCGTATCTCGCGGCTCGACGCCGAGTGGCTCGCTAAAATTCTCTACAGTTTTTCAGAATTTTTAATTTATTATAATAGGTACCTTCAGTTATAATATTATTAGCATACATCTACTGTCTCGTTGTTTAGACGAACGTCTAAACAACGAGTACCTATTTAAAAATATAAATAGACTATTTTTTCGAAATTCAAATTTCTCTTTCATTTTCCCGTTAACAGGATTTATTCAATTTTAATATTCAAAGGCTTAAAAGGAACAATAATTGAACAGTTGAAATTAGTAACGGGCTACGCTATGTGTCAAAAAATTAAAAATTGAGTTAATTCCAGAATAATGTTCGAAGTTGCCAAGTCCAATACACATGTAAAACGGCCTATGTGCTTTGATTAATGCTAATAGGCCGAAAAACATCCGCTAGATAGCGCGTGTGGTATGTGCCGGGGATTTGGGACGAAATAACGTGTCACAATCCTCTTAATTTCTATTTTCGTTCATATTTTATGTCCTATTAATCGTCACGACCTATCCTTATTGTTGTTCAGATCTAATCGATCGCCCATTATCTTGTTAAATGATATTGAATAATAAGTTTTCACTGTTTTCACTACAGGTTTTACGTGCGAAAAGGAAACTGCGTATATTATTAATAATCATTAGTGTACTTAGTTTATTTTTATCATTATAGTTTTATACTGGTTATGTTGTATGAAACTAAATATGGAATTGAATAGAAAAAAATACCCGAAAAATGATTAATAAACAGCCAGAGCGTGAAGAAAGAAAAACGCACAGAGGTTAAGTAAACCCATACGCCCATATAAAGAGGTCTTACTATATTCATACGTATATTGGATTAGTTTCATATTATTTAATAAAAAAAAAATCTCGCATTGAAATATAGATAAAAGTAAAAAACAAAGAAACTAGAATAGTTTAACCATAGATTAAATATACTTATATACATATAATCTAGGCTACAATAACATTTAAATATCAAAATAACACCAACATATTTTCATAAAATATACCTATAGATTTATCAATTAAGTATATGTTTACTCTTATACATAAGGTAGTAATGAATAATAATTATGTATAGACAATAATATTAATTAAAAGTATAGTGTACATAGAACTTTAACCAACAATAAAATACACCTATACTGTTATGGAATGATGTAAGCATCAATGGTAAAAATGGATACATCTTATCCAACTGAAAAATTCCCCATACTATTTCAGTTGACAACATCAATGGCCAGAGAGACATTAAATACATATTTTCTATAAACTTTAGTTGCTTAAATTTACCAGTAACATACAAAAAATAAACATTAATACAAAATAAAAGTAACTTGGTGATAAATTGAGATGGCCTAAACAACAATGGAAAACAAGAATATACACCAATAGTTGATAGCATTGTAAACACAGAACAATCATTTGTGGTAGTATTTATTAATAATCTGCAAATTATAAAAATAAGTTATAAGTTTATACTTTATTAATTACTCATTGTTATAATATTCAAATTAAAACTTAATAACTTACGTCAATGGTATAATTACTATAAGTAGTGCTTTTTCGTGAACATGCCAACCAAACATAAATGAAGTTAAGCCGCATATAACAATGCATCGGACAAAACCAATTGCACTCTTTTGGGATATCCACATTTTATATAAACATGGCTAAAAATAAAAATATCAATATTAAGTAAATTAAAACTATTGAATGAATTATGTATATCTAATATGATATAAAATATACATACAAATGTAATTTATGTGCAAGTATAATTTAAAAAATACAAAATACTCTGGACATTTATAACCATAAATATCAAAATATAATTTTAACAAATATTTATTAAAACCAAATGATATAAAGACAATTACATGAAATGTAAATTATGTAATTTTGAAACTATTTCTATACTTTTTTAGTTATTAGAACTTAAAATTTGAATTGGATTAACAATTTCCGTTCTTAAAAGTTCTGTAACTATTATTAGCATTAATTATTATTTTTAATATTACACAATAAAAAAACTTAATCAAATAATAATACTAATAAAAAGTAATAGTATAAAACTCACCAACAGAAACATGGCTGTTAAGGTAAAAGTAATTTGTGGAGTAATGGATGGCAAAATATAGTGATCATATTCTTGAACTAATCCTCTAGTCATTGAAGTCGAATTGTCATTGTTGATCAAATCTAATTTTTTATCTGAAAATACACAGAGAATTAGTTTATAATTTATACCAATAAATAAATAAAAACGAATTATACTAGGTGACTTATTAGTATACACAATATATTGTTAAATAATATATAATAGTATCTTACAAATTTAAATTTGCTTCTTTAATTTCAAAAAGGTTTTACAAATTTGATGGTATACCTTAGTCCTCAAAGCTTCACTATATTAAATGGTCAAATATTGATTTTTACATTATTTCCACCACTTTTATGGTGATAAATTGTTGTAGTATAATTTGTATACATAGATTGATCCATTTAACATACTTCATTTAAGATTTTAAAATGGCGGTTTCTGAATTTAATTTATATGTATATAAAAAACAAACAAAAATTGATAAGATGTAAATGTAGCATGTTAAATTGACCACACATAAATTAAGTTAAATTTACATATAAATTTAGCGCCAATATCAGCTGTGTTATACATGGCCCAAAAATTAGGTGCCCAATATGCATGCGATAGACCCCGTTTGAATGGAAATAGCTGTTTTAAAACCTAAAAAACAATAAAATAAAATAAATAGAAATTATAATTAATATTGTAATTTACATTACCTGTGTAATTTGACCTTTAACCACAAAAGGTCCAAATGAGATACTAGTTACACCAAGAACAATTATTCCTAGATTTATCAATCGTTTTAATGTCGTTTTTAAATTTTGCCCAAAACAAAAGTGTTTTAGTAAGTATATAAAATAAACCGGTGCTAAATATAAATAAATATGTTTAAAATTCAATAAAACTATAAACCAAAAGGCACCTCGATAACTTTGACCCTAAAAAAGAAATATACATTTAAAACTGAATTTTGATTAAAAATGAATATTCTTACCTTTAAAATGTGAGCTATTGATACAAGAAGGATACCAAAAAGAAATCCATTGTACTGAAAGTGGATATGGTCAATAATCATTAGCATTATATTAAATACTAATAGTATTTCAATCATAAAAACATTGATTTCATAGTCTTCCAAATTAGGGTTTTTTTTCCTAGTCTTTGGAGACATCCCTAATACTACCAAAGCCTGAGCACATCTAAAGAACATATTAATCTTACATAAACTCTCAAAATTTACAAATAAATCATATGGCAAAAATAAAAATAGTAATAACTAATAATTATTATTATTAAATTGTATATATTTTCCAATAAAATTGTATGTAATTAACTTATTTAACTTTCCAAAGCTAATAAATTTATTAAATTTCATATTTTAATTATTAAAAATGGTTTAAAATTTAATTTGAAAATTACGTTTAATATTTATTTAAGAGGATAGTTATTATTTTACATTATCTCAAAGTGGTCTATATTCTGACAATTTATAACGTGGTAAATGCTTAAGATTCAATTAATTCAAACAAATTATTAAAAAACAATATAAACATCCTTAATGTATTCTTTTAGATAACAGTTTTAAATACAATTTCATTTTGAAACAAAGTTATTTATCCTTATTAGTATTAAATAATAATTTTACTGTAAAATTTGATACTTTTATGATTTAGTTGGAATTAATTAAAATTATTTTTTTTTTCAATTAACATGGTAAAACTGATATCAAAAGTAAAAAATGGTTAATAAGTTAATTAAAAATTAATGTGACAATGCTAGTTTAACACTTAGTATTTTAGATTATTTGGCAGTGTTTTTTTTGTGTATAACAGAATAATATATTAATGAACACAATATAATATTTACATCCCGGTTGGAAATTAATCAAAATAAAATATACTAACTGTCGAGATCCATAATAGAAAACAAAGTCGGTAACAATTACACTCAGTCGTTGAAAATGAACTGTGGCAACGGATTCATAGTTTAGATTTTTTATTGATAACATGTCAACATCGACATAGAACGCGATTTGGGCTAGGAAATATTCAAACCATGCAAACAGTGGTGGATAGTCGAGTGTCCACGGCGAATGTGTGGCCGAATACCATTGTTCTAGGGGAAGACTATAGGTCGTTGCCAGCCAGTTGCGGTGCACCTCGAAATCAGTCGAAAAACTATAAATATCAATAAAAAATAAACATCTTAAATTATGAAAAAAATTAATCAAAATTATTTTAATATAATAGACTGAATAAGAGATTTAATTGACACTTACAAACAAGGTAGACATAGTAACTTTATGCATGTTACTATGATGTAAAGTGTAAGTGACATTTTTAGATCAAAAACCGATAGGACGGAGACATAGTTAAATGTCAGTAAATTCATGACAAAATCGAATACAAGGATTACAGAGGCCAATACTCATTTCATGAGTCGTCGGCTGGTAGATAAGACGTGCCAGTTGCCACGCGTGATTCGCCAAAGCCAAACAGAATAACACGAATAAAAATATAATAAATCATTACAAGTCGGTAGTTGTTAGTTACTACCTCGCAGCATTTGCTATTTGGATAATTGGATCTCAGATTTTCAGAGTAATAATACTCATGTGTTTTGGCTATAGCTTATCACATTGTAGTTTATCAATAGTCGGCAAACCGATGATAGGAACGACCACTTGTTATAAGACCATTTGAACGACCACGGTCAAAGTTGTAGATAATTATCTATAATCATGACCACGGTTATAGAATGGTTACTCAACCATTAGTTAAGATAAGGATCCTTCCGCCATCATCCGGTAAATGTTCCCTTTTTGGTTCTCCTTCAAAAAAAACTCCCTTCACAGCCCACAGGGACAGAGAAGTAGACTATAAAAAATATATATAGTAGATCATTATAATAAACGTATATAAATATAGATAATATTATTATATATTATATATCTGCAAGGTAGATTAATTTGCATTGTATTTACGTTCTAATCGTATACTTATTTATAGTTTTAACAAACTAACTGTACGATACTATTCTTTCTAGCTGTACGATTCACTAATTTTGTAAAAAAAAACGTTGAGACTACTACTTAATGTAAGTACCTAGTACCTACAGGTAAAAATGTAACAATTATACGTAAGGCAAATGAACCCCGCAAAAAAATCCCCAAAGCATTTATACTGTCAAAATTATATGTAAATAAAAAAAAATCGAATATAGTTTAATCATCAATGGTTGAGTGTATAATATGCACACAGCTGTCAAAAATAATAATAAATAGTTAAAAAAAAAAATTAATGTATGTAGTTATAACCTAACCTAACATATTTAGTTTTTCCTTGTGTGGATTTAATATTTCCATAGTTGCACAGTAGCACAATTCGAAATTACTCAACAGGAACTGAAGAAGTACTAGCCGTAATACCTATGCAATATCTAATAACGTGTAGATACCACAGTTACCAACAGTTGTGGAATATTATTTAAATAATTAATTTAATTTAAGTTATTATGTTATTATTATTATTATGATTTGTTTTTGTTAATAAATGACAAGTCTAAAAAAAAAATAATATTCATTGAAATTATTGGTACTTATATATTAGGTATTGATATATTATATTGTAATAATTTGATAAAAAAAATTGACTAGGGGTTGTGGAAGGCGAAATCCCCCACGGGTCAGGTTGAGTTTAATCATTGTAAAGGACGCTTATTTTTTTAGTATGAATCCCCTATCATATTTTTTTAATTCGAGCACTGATTTAAATTAGATAATTCTGACCTAACAATCATTCAATGAGTAATCGGAATGGACCAAAATTAACTAGAACAGTGGTTCAGTTTGTAATATTAGACTTTTTTTATCGGTTCCGGTTAATTAAAATTATAATTTAGTAGTTCTGGACAATAAAAATTGAACACTAAAAAAATTATGAAAATTGCCACTCTGTAAGCAATTGTCGACAGTATCAAAATTGAGGGGATTAAAATAATGGGGATTAGGGAATTGTAATAATTTTTATAAAAAATCAAATTTCTGTTGTAGGCTGCCATTCTTTTGTCATGTAATTACAATACCATGTTTTGATCGAAAATATACCTGTGCAACAAATAGTAATTGGATAAAAATGCCATAGACAAAAATATTAATCTATAGAGGTGTTTATTCGTTTTGCCTTTTTATTGTAATAAATGGAAAAATAATTGTAGTGACCTAAAATTTGCACAAAATACATGTAGTAGCCTTTTCATGGGCGTCATTAGAATTTGTATTTAGTGATAAAAAAAAATAAGAATTTGCTTTAATGTAAGTTTTTTTTTATACTTGAGTGTTTTAAATTTTAAAAATAATATTATTTCAAAATATCCATTACCAAACTTCTCAACGAATCATTTTTCATTAGCAATGATTTGTTGTTTCGTACATATATACAATAATTAACTCCATGTATCCTTCCTTCCTAACTATCCACCCATAACAGAGGTGGAGTGATGAATAACAATTTCTAAAAAGAGGATTTATCAATGGGTACACAGTAACTGGAGCAACTTACCACAGTAAATATAGTACCACAACATGCGTTGAGGAAAATTTATACATTCAAACTGAAGATAACAACATTTTTATCATAGTTTTTATGAAATCTAATAACCTGAACATAACTAATATATACAAACCACAAATACTGGCGGTACACTACCTATGGCTCTCGATGTGCATCATTCGTTTGTTGTAATGGGTGACTTAATAACCACCACCCTACTTGGGGATACAATGACAGATAAAAAGAAGACCTCATCAATAGTTGAAAGCCAAAGACATGCTCATCTACGATGCAAAATAAAAGGGCTCATTTCACAAATCGCAATGAAACTGAGAGTATAATCCCAACTTAAGTTTCATATCTAAAGATAAATAAGATAGCCCTTTGGTGATACACAATTGTGTCACCAAAAATAGCGACTGGTGGTGCTCTCACACTTATACCCAGTATCAACTATTGTTTACTTTTAGATGTTATAATATTATATATAACACAACTTTATTAAGTGAACTGCCCACCACGCGACAAGAGACACAGCATACAAATTTAATGTATAATATATAGTTTGGTACTTAAGTTCAAAATTTTAAATATAAGCTTAACATTGAAAATAGATGTTTGAATAAAATAATGATAATAAAAAAAAAAAAACAGTAATAATAATATTACAAAATAGTTCATTTTGTGGAAAATTGTATTAGTGATCAATGACAAAATCACTGTTCTTGTTTAGGATCGTCATAGAATTTTAACCTCTTTCAGAATGAGAATAAAGTTTATTCCGCTCTGCTCATTTAGAGTCTATTATTTTTGTATACTAAATAAAAATATAAATTCAATTAATGCGAAATGAAAATTCAAAATAAACACTATTTAATAATTTAAGTTTTATATGTTGTTGAATATAAGTGGTAAGGTACAGTAACGTTTTATACTTGCAAAAATCATTTTTTATTAATTGTTAGACAATTTGACAGGTTTATAATAAATAATAAATATACATAGGTAATATATTAATTTCTTCTTCTTCGTCTTCATCTCAACTATTTGAGCTTGGCTAGCCTCGTTCTAAACTTTTATTCAATCAGATTTCTCATCTCACATACACTGGATGTCCTCATATCTTTCTCAATTGTATCAAACTATCTCTTTCAGTTTTCCTTTTCACCAATTTCCTTCTACTTTTATTTTCACAGAAATACAAAACACCTAGCTCTTCTTTATTTTATCCAACATTTTACATTTTACATAAACATTTTATATGTAATTTTTTGTTTCACATGCTCATGAACGCCATCATTATTTTGTATAAAAGACCATGTTTACTTAAAACTATCAACCTCAACTATAACTGCTTATTACTGTAAGCTGTCTTATCTTGTTTATCCAAACTTATACTTTGTCATATTATTTGCAAAATATTATACACCATGATACCTCTCTCAACTGTTGTCCTTGTGCACATCCAAGATCGGATAATCTGCTAAAGTCTTGTTTAGAATGCCTTATACTGTTTTATACCAGCTGTCAATTTGGCGCAACCTCATTAACGATAGGTAAAGGTACTGTGGGTGTATTCTGACCCCTTCTCACAGGGAAAATACGTATTAAATTATATAACTCACTTTCAGTTAAAATGCTGATATTGTTGTAATTGGTACACAGTTAATGGTCAATAAAAAATTAAATAATTAAACAAAATTATTAGTTAAAATGTTAGTAAAAGATGAAATAAAATCTATTATTAAATTTAGTAAATAATCTTAATTAACAAGACAATCAAAGTGAACTACATTGATATTGACCCAGAAGACTTTTCAATATTTCTTCATAAAACACAGAAAATACTTTTCTGTTATATGTGATGAGGTGCAAAAAACTGCCAGTAACCGCTGCCAATATATCTTTGAATGCTGACAAACCGAGCGGGCACTGTTGAGGAACTGCATTGTTAGAACTGATGACAGCTGCAATGAACTCCTTAAATCTCCTTTCTTAAATAATAACCAGATTTAATAAAAAGAGATAATTATTTTTACCTAATTTGGATTTTGTTATAGAATTTAATGTCATTACCAACTAGTATTTTTATTTTATGATCAGGTTCTTTAATTAATAAAACTTGAGTCTCCAGTAAAGAAATCACATCTTGGGAAAGAGGTGGACTATTTTTTGATAATAAGTATTCGTTAGAGTCTTTAATAGCTTGTTCCACAACATTTGGTAATAATGACAAACTATCTCTACAAATAAAATAAACAATTAATGTAACACTTAAGGTACATTACATATTAGATTACATAATACAGACTTGCTAGAATCATTATCTTTGAGTATTAGTAAAATATGATCTTTTAACAGTTTTTTAAACTCTATATCATTAGGAATAGTGTTACTGATCGATGATATTGTTACAATAAATGCTGATGCAGCGATTATCAAAATATTTAGCATTTTATTTGTTGCCAAGTATCTATCTTTGTCTAATGATAAAGCCTGAAAAATATTTTTTTTTCGACATTACAATACCATGAAGTAATACTAATTTGTAAAGTAATTACTTCTGGGAATATAACATTTTCATCCCAATCAAATATTTCCATATAAGCTCTTGCAATTATATTACTATAAGATTCTGAAGTTTTTTCGAAATTTACATGGCGTTTTAGCCATTCCGTAGTCAAGTTAAGGGCATCTGTTTACAATTTAAAAAATCAAATATATTTATAATTAGTTGTAATAATTGTATTACATTATTATCATTAAACAGTATTTACCTGGTTTCACTTTTAAATACTCAGCAAATTTTTCTCGTTCATAATCAGCACTACAAGCATTCAGTGCTCGTCGTTGAGCAGTGATTGTAAAATTAGCCATGTCAAGTTTCATTAAACCCAAGGTCTGTAAACACATTTTCAATAAAGTAATTCATACATTTTTTTTTAGAAAAAAATATGATAGTAGCCAAGAAACTAGCAAGCATACAATTAAATTTAATAACTAATATTTGTATACTACTTATTATTAGGTATAATAAATATATTCTTATCGCTGATTTTAATTATAGCAGTCATGCAGTATGGAAATGGAAAATCTATAGACAATCTCCTCTGAATAACAGAAATAACCTAAGGGGCCTCAACACTAACATTTATTTTCTCTGTCTGTCTTTCGTGTAATATAGAAATAAAGGCATTTCATATTTCCATAATAATAACTCTTTGGTTGAGTTTAGAGTAAAAGGTATAGACTCTACTAATGAGGTTTTTAATATTTTAGTTTCTTAATAAAAAATGAAAATATTAAAAAACCATTCATAGAATCAATATTTAATATTTTTCTTTAAAAAATATATAATATGTTCCTTTGCTCTAAATTCAATCAGAGTCAAATCTATACATGGAAATTTGTAATGCTATTGATCCTATAAAATGTGTGACATGGATAAAGAAAACAAATTTTGGAGACAAGGTACCTTAATAATATAGTTTATAATAATCTTTAAAATACATACTACAGTAACGTACTGTGAGAATTCTCAAATATCGAGATCCACAAATTACTTAAATGCATTTAAATTTATAAAATTATTGAAATAGGTAATGAAAGCTTACTTTAGTAATTTTATAAATCAACTACCAATTAAAATAAAACCATTTAATAATAATTTAGGTTTTTAAAAATGTGTTTTATGTTAATGTCTTTTTATTTATCAAACAGTAGACACAACAATTATAATATATTTAGTGATTAATTATACTAAAATTTGGCTTACATGATTTCAAAACAATCTCCAAAATTGGTATTGAGTAAGATTTGGCTTCTACGTTTTTATATACAACCAAATATTATGTAATGTGCATAGCCCGATATTTTAAAATTATATACTTTATACTGAAAAATAATACAAACATCTATGATAGGTCTTCTACCATAACAATTATCTCTATAGCTATATTATGTTATAATTGTTTTTTATTTTTCAAAGTTTAAAATAATAAATAAATAAAATGTATTTATATTTAGAAGCCCAAATACAGAAATAATAATAATAATAACAATAAATTTATGTCAGAAAAATAGTTGAATAGTTAAATTTGTATGTAATTTTTGTATTTGTGTCCAACTTTAATAAATATTATGCAAATAAATCTAAAATAGTAAAACTAGTACCTTATTTTATAAGTCTGTTATTAATAAAATTTAATTTATTTTAATCTGCAACATGAATAAATTAAATTATGTAAAAATATTAAACACGAAAAAATAAAGAATATGTTTAGTGTTCCTATTCAGCCTGCTATATTACCATTATTATAAATAAAACTAATGCCTGGTTGCACAAAAAAATGTTCTATAAATATTTTATTAGTTTGATAATTTATTGACACTAAAAGTTTTATTGGTTTTATAAACATAAAGTAAATAATGATGGATAAATATTAAAGTTTTGCACAAAATATTATTATAAGATATATATATTTATCCACATACTATATAATGGTTTAATAATTTAAAGTCGTGGTTGATAACAGATAATTGATAAAATTAAATTAATTTGTAGGTAAGTTGTTAATTTATTCATATATTTATTATTAAATTATAATTTTTGGCACAATAACTGAAATTAATAATAAATTTACTAAACGGAAAAGAGGAAAAAATGTCAATGAAAATGAAAAATCATCACTTATGAAATAATTGCAATCATATTTACTAAATTTATGACCCGTTGTGTAAGTAATATACTACTAGCTATTAATTATTTTAGCAAAATAAAATTATTTATATAATTATTTACAGAATCATCATATTCCATCATCAAAGGATCATACCTTATTCGATATGTACGCTGTTTTGGTAGAATTTCTAATACATCAATTATGAACTCAAATGAAGAAAACTCAATTACGTTCATTATAATTAAATTATAATAAACAATTTAAGTACTTGGTCAAATAAAAAATCCCTTATTTTTATCAAATCTGTAACTTTTATCTAGTATTTAATTTTTTATGTAGCAAATCTTATATCCTAAACACTTAAAGAAATTATTGAACTCTTAACCCCAAATTAAGCATTAGTTTACAGGGGTTTAGTAACTTTATATGTAAAAGAATATGCTCATTATATATATGTTTGGTTACAATAAAATATATATTATTATATTAAGTCTTTACTTTGATAAATTGCATATTATCAAACCAATATAACTTATTGGGCAAAATTTAAGCCTATAAACTATTGAACCAATAGTCACTTATGACCGATATAATATAAACTCAATAAGGTATGAAGGTTTGTTCAACATCTTTTAATTTACATTGATTTAATGACATAATTTAATTTAATAACTACTTATTGACTCAATAAAGTTTTGTGCAACCGGGCATAAATGACCTAAAATCGTAAATAAAAAAAAGTCCCGATGGCAAAATAACATATTATATCAAAATAGTATGTACACATTAAGTTTTAGTTTATATTATATTACATCTATATAGTGTTATTATTTGTTTTGCAAAATGGACACCATTTGCATCTATTTTATGATATGGAAGTGTGATTTCTCCTCTTTGGATAACATTTTTTTGAAATGGATACCTTAACTAAACACAACAAAATTTGTTTTGTCATTTGGCTGTTCATACAATGAAATAATAATCCCTACGTTTTCATAATTTAATAAATTTGATGATCTACTCGTATTATTATTATTAAAGAAAATATTGAAGTATGTCCTACGTTATTTTAGTTATTTTTATACATTCCAATAAAAATGTTTGACTAAAAAAGCATTTTTATAAAAAAAATTTGATTTATATTATCTTAATAAACTTGGAAAAAAACTACACAGCTCCAATGATATTAATACTGTGATTTGAGATTTAATATAAGCCAAATTAAATAAATAATGTTTTTCAATAATAATACAATTTTTTTTTTTTGTCCAAAATGTAACTAATAAGCTTTAAATATGTTTACTATTAGAAATAAAAAAATCAGACAGGTATATTATTTTTTAAACTTTGTAATAATCATTGATATTATTTATACATTTTTTTAAATAAATAATTATAAGAATTTTTTTTAAGCAATTTTTTAAAGTAATTGTAAAATCATAAAAATAAAAATTTAAAAATTGTTTTTTTTTTTTTTTTAGTACCAATAATAATAACAATATAATTGTGAAAAGTAGTTTATTGTATTCCAATATGGACATCTAAATGACGGAACAAGTTCAATTATGTATACATTACACAAAATATTGTTCACATTGTACAATAATTAATAACGCTAAGTGGAGAAACCACTTTGTTAAATGGATACAAATGTTGTTCATTTCATACTGACAATAACGATATATGGATGAGACAAACAAATATTATACAATACATTACCTCTATAATTCCTTTGAATATGTCAACAGGATTTTTAAGAAGTGTTAAATTTTTTATTGAATCGTCTCTTACTGGAGCGCATATTTTTTTCATCAAGTTTAGTATAAATTGTGTGTAATACTGTATGAAAAAAAAATAAAAATATACTAATATTCTTTACTAGATCAATATTGATTGAATAATTGATAGTTATTTGTTACCTCAAAATCTAAACAATTGTTGTCTATTTGATTCTGTATGATCTCTAAATCTAAAACTTGGTGAATTTCTTCTTTTAACTTAGTATGCTGATCCAGCAATAAACTCGATAAACTCTGTAACAATAACAATAGTTTAATTCTCACATTATGAATAAATTTGAAGAAAAAGTAGCTATAGGAACATAGTCGTAACATTAATATTAATTGAAAAGGTAAAAAAAGAGCTGATACTGAGGATGGGAGCGGCCACTGTTGTAGGTGAGAAGTTGGGAAGGTAGGATACATAAGGTTATTTCATTTATATTTGTAAGCAACAATAAACCATTGCTTGACGAAAGAAAATTCCAAGCGCAGTTTGGTAATACATAATTTGAAGTGCCGTAATTTTTTTGCGATTTTCATTTAAACTTGATTTCAAAACACTTATTAAAAAAAAAAAAGTTCTGATGATTTTAAAAATTTTACCACGTCTAGGTAAGTCTAATATAAGTATTAATACCAAGTTTCAAGTCTTAATGTGCATTTATAACTGAATTACAGCCAAAAAACTCCCAAAAATTAAAATTCCTTAAAGCTCAAAAGTTTTGGCAATGATATTGTAAGAAAGTAAATCAAAGAGGCAACAAAAAAGGTATCTTGTCATTTTTCGATTAAATCATTTATTTTAGTAGAAAACATCATCCATGTTTTTATAAAATAATGAGACCGTGAAATTATACGTTTTCCCAAGTTTTTTCTACTTAAGTAGTTTCATTCAAAAAATGGTTTCTCTAAAGTACCATTTAGACAACTTGAACTATCAGAAAAGTTGCTACACATAAATATCGGAGTAAGTTTACTAGAAAAAAAACGTGTCCACAGACTAGAAGAAAGGAGAAAAATAAACATCTTAGTAAGACCAGTAGCTCCCTTGCCACGCTTGGAATCTAAAAACGGATTAAACATAAGTACCTCACGGATTTCCGTTAATAGTATCATAGCTTGAGAATATTCAGGAGGATCATTGTTCAATTGTTGGTGTAATATTTCCCAAAATGCTTTGTGCATTGTGTCTTTAACTTGTTTCATTAGACTTGTAAAATGGAACAAAATAATTTATAATAATTAATATACCTGAATTATATTTTATTTAATTACTAACCTCACCTGTTATCTGGTGGTTCTTGTGGTTCCAATTTGAAATTTTCATTGACTGCTATTTCGTGAACGAGAGCGATATCTTCTAGTTTTTTAGCTGCTACCATGATTTCGGGTAATGATAGGAATTTTGGAGGTGATGCAGCTGTTATATTGTTTAACCTAATGATCAAAAAAATAAAAAATAAATAATAATGAAAGACGTATAATAACAAACAATGGTTTAAATAATAATATTACATATCTTGACGAGCTCCAGGAATAGGTCTGTTGGGTGTTGATTGACCATCTTGATCGTTATTTTCTGAACTCATTTCAAATAAGTTTAATAAGATTTAATATTAGCTGCAATAAAGATATAAGATTCCAAGTAACTGATCCGATATGTAAAATGAATGAATAACTACTGGTTGTATCAACGGAATATTTATATTTCAAAACAATCTCAGTGAAATAGGTTAATTGATGGTACTTTTCAAACTACAACAACTACACAATTGTATTGAACTCAAACATTATTATTATATTTTAGTGTTTAGTACATTACACAATAGTAATAAATCAGGTAACATGAATAATAAAGAAACGAAAATAACAATAATACTCTAGAAAACATTAATCATAATGACAGTCATTAAGCTACCAGTTTATGCATTAGACAAATGGAAATAACGGTGTAATGATTCATAGAAATTCAAAATAGTAAAATTATAAACGAATCACTCATTGATTTTTGACCAAAGATCATAAAAATTTACTACCTACACAAAAATAAAACATTCAAAATCACATAGTATAGTTTTGTAAAATTAAGAACATTTAAGCAATGAAGTAAATGTACACTATAGTTCTACCATACAAAATATAAAAAAATGCATAAAAAGCGCATACCTTTATAAAAACGATTACGTATAAAAAAGTGAAAATTTAACTTAATATTTTTTTATGTCTAATTAAAAATAAAGTATTATTGAAGTACAAATTATCGACATAGTACAATAAATAAGAAAACAGGTAGGAAACAAAACATTTACAAACAAAACGCGAGAACCAGTTTAAGGACATGTTCTTTTATATTCTAAAACAAGTGACCGTCAAGGCCTAAAAGGCATACCTTATATGGTTGATGACTAAGAGGAAATAAACGTTTAAAACTTATAACACAGAAAACGTTTGATGGCTTTTAATTTCTAAATAAAATTATTATTAAAAAAGTTACCAGTATCGTTGGTTTGTTCGTAAATTATTTTCGTGTCTTGATAATAACTAGTTACGTAATGTGTTGAAGCCGTCTTTAAGTTTTTAATTTTAATAAGTAATACGGATAGTAAATTTGAATATTGAAAGAATAATAAAAATAATTATTTCGCTCACTGACTGTCGTCGGTCGTATGAGCACAATAACAATAATAATATTTTTGTTTTTGTTGTCGACTACATCAGCTGTTATATAATAGAATTGATAAGGGATTTACTATCACATGTACAATTACATGTGATAGTAGTACGCTCAAGCGCTCATTATATAAGATTAATATTTCCTCGTTTCGCTTTACGGCTCTTCAAAATCCTTTGCGGCTGGTGTTTAAATTCCGTTCTTACAGTGTTGGCTTAACATGCTATCTGGTTAATGACATTTTTTGGAAAATTTGAAGGTGACTACGTCATTACTTCGGTATTAAATACGAAACAATTTACGACACTAGTTCGTTTTTTCGTTCACTGGAAGACTACACGACTACTACCCGTAATCTAGTTTAGTTTAGTTATTACCCATAAAAATTGAAATAAAATTCTGTTTCTTCAATGTTTAAATATTAAATGTAAAATGGGTACCTACAACTGCGGATAATTTATCATACGACTGTGGACAAACTCGGGCAATTTAATTTAATTTATCGATAAGATTGCGGACGAACTCGAGTTATGAAAAAGATAAAAATGTTAAACGGAACGCACTCAGGGATAACCCCGGTTTCACCACTGCTGTATTTAGTTTAATTTTAGTTCTTTTTGAGAACAATAAATTTCTATTTGAAATATTTTAACACAACGTAGAATGTATTTCCAAGCCCGGATTAAATTGTTTTTGGGCCCGGGGCCAAACAATTTTAGGATTCCATTAACATAATCAAAATATTGGTTTCTCACAAATAAATACATTTCAGAGAACGTCGTACATTTGCAATCGATGGTATTCCCATTTCCTTACCACGATCATGCTGCTAAAAATAGACGATACTGCGATAGCATAAATAATAATAATTATAATAATACTAGCTGTCATGCGCCCGGCGTTGCCCGTGCCAATTTTTACCCATATTAAATTTTGGTTTTGGCCGTGTCGGAATTGAATGAAAATAAATACGTGGAAAGTGAGTAGTCCACCTAAGGAGGACTAAAAATGTTCTGTTGTGACTTTTTTTCATGATTTTCATACTAAAAATATCTAAACACCGAATTTTGGGAGGGAGGAGATTTCAAAGGAAATGAATCCTAACCTAACCATCGGGGGAGTAGGGACGTTCGGCAGTGGGAGAGTGCGTGTACTGTATTCTAGTCGTCACTTGCAGATGGCTCGGCGTTCCTTTTAGACCTTTATGTACGTATTTCCCGACAATTTATATTAATACAAAATTAATAACTTAATTGCCATAATTAGAGACCGGATTTATATGTTCTTTATATCCACAAAAAAGCACTCGAAAACGTCGAAAAGCCTTGAAAAAAATCACTTGAAAAATGCGTAAAAACGCAAAAATAATAAAAGAGGTTAATAGTCCCCCATCTCTAACGGATTTAATTTATACAAACAATTTTCTAGCACCACAAAAATAATTAATAGAAAGTATTTTTTTTTTTATAATACGTGCAATTTTATTTAAAAGAAATTATTTTGTAGTGTTAGGAAATTTAATTTAATAAGTTAGAGCCATTAGGATGGGGGGACTTTTAAACTCCTTTATAATTTTAACCGAAAATCAATATTGAATTAAACTTTTAATATAAGGCGAAAATTAACTTCTTAAAAAATTCACTCAACAAACTCAAAACTGTATACACGTTCAGATCGAATAGACTGTGTATTAAAAAATGAATAAATGAACTTTTTCGATAGATGCCCACCGATGCAGCTGTTAAATGAAATTTATCATATTCACCATACACAAAAAGATGAAGAAATTACAACAAATCACGTCAGTTAGACGACAGGTGTGCTCATAGTGTATATACAGACTACGTCTACTATAAGTAAGTAAAGGGAACTAGGAAAAAAACATTTATAATGTTAGTGCAACGGTATCGAGTTCAAATCCCAGATATCATTAATAAGTTTTTGAAATTTTTTTTATTTATTCGATTGACTTTTTAGAAATTCTCTTTCATAAAAACCTTGCCCGGACAATTAAGAATACAACTACAACAAAAAAAAAAAAATCAGCAAAATCGGTTAAGTCGTTCTCACGTGACGCGATGACCGAGGGAAATAGGGATTCATTTTTATATTTTTTTATATATATATAGATTATTTATTGTTGATGGTTGCTATAAGTATGCTGAATACTGATTAATATTATTATTCGTGATTGTTCTTATTAAATTGCTGATTGTTATTGTTATTATTGATTGGTTGACAAATAAATAAATAAATTATTATGAATTTTAACAGGAGGTTCATAATAGGTTGTACTTGGTGGTAAAAAAAAAAAAAACGAGGGTGGTAATGCAGTTTTTTTTTCAAGAGTTAATATCAAATTTTGACGAAAATCGTGAATATTACGACCTTTTAAAACATGTTTAATTATTGAACTTTCATTCCGAATCGTTTTTCGTTAGCATTGGTTTATTGTTGCTTACAAATATAAATTAAATAACTTTATAAGTCCTACCTTCCCAATACTTACATTAGTGGCACATCCGTTCTCAGTTTCTGCTCTTTTTTTAGTGGAAGGGGGGGGGGGTTGTGTACAACTTTCTTACACGAAATCGTTTGTCTATCAAACAATAACTAAAGACCTATTTTGTTAATTTTGGATTTACTTAGGTTGGTTTGTTAAGTTTTACTAAGATATATTTTTTCTCAGAAAACATTTGTTTCGGCTGTTAAAAATGCTGAATTTTTTCAAATAATACTTTAAAAGACGCATAATTTCCGTCTGTTGGTACTTTACCAGAATTGTTTTTGTAAGTATCAACAGTTTACCTCTTAGGTCTTCTTTGTTTTTTTCTCGGATTATAGCTTTTTGATTTGTAAAAATGTTCTAAATTATCGGCCCTTAAAAGATGCGAAATTTCCGCTCAGTGATACTTTATTTGGAAATTATCTAGATTTCCAACTAGGTGAAGGTTTTCAAACAATTTAAAATCTTATAGCAAATATGCCGATATATTGGTTTTGTATATTGTATTTGTAGATTTCTGGGTTACTTGTTGCGGGCTATACAATAAGGGAAATAAACACGTCTAATATGTACGTCCTACTTTAATTTTACTGAGTTCGACTCAGAATCGTTTTTTGATTCAAAACGTTTTATCGTCGATTTTAGTATGTAAACTTAATTATTGGTATCCCTATAATTGAGTTAATTATCTATATCAATCCTGTATAGGTACCTTGAACTTTACAAACGTATTCCGCCTATACAACAGTGACATGGCCATGGTGCTAAGTATCTATTAAATATCATCACTGACGACGGGCGATAAATATTATTTCGACGGCGATTTTTTTTTGTTTTTTCATAATCGGAACCAGTTTGTAAATAAAAAAAAAATATAAACGCATAAATAACGACGGGAACTCACGCATTAGGTACGGGTATTATATATTATTCGATAAGTAGGTACCTGACATTATGCACTTATAAAATACCGAATGATATCGTACGTGGTTATTATAATATTAAAAAAATGAAAAAAAAAAAAAAATAAAGACATCGCGAATTATATAGCTGCCGATGTTGTCGCAGAATAAATCAAATGAAAATAAAACCTACCTAAAAATCACAGCGCGCGTGAAAATCGGCAGCCCGTTTAATAATAATTATTGCCTCGTACGGTCTATTAAATGTAAATATTATAATATTATTGCTGTATAAAACACGAATGCACACTGCACGTGCACGTGCGTGATCACTGCACGTAAATTTCGGCACTGAAAACGTCTCGAGGATTTTTTTATTCTCTTCGGATTTTCAACGCGTTGACGCGCGCGCGAGAAATACGCGACGATAATTACACGTTATTATCGTACACCGGGGCCGATAATAATTACTATACGAGAAACGTTTTATCAGGATGGGAGAGGGGGGAAATGGAATAAAAAAAAAAAAAATCACATCGATCGTTATACTTGGACGGACAGTCACGTCCGTAAAATGTACAGGCGCCTATTATAGATACATACATATATAATTTCGTACCTATTTGAATCTGCGCTCTATACGCGTTTAAATCGTTTTTAAAAATACGACTAATAACAACAATCGACAGAAATATTAAAAGCGCAACGTTTACACCGCGATCGCCGCTTAAGTATATATACCTGGCTAATACAGTATAGTATAGGTAGGTGGTATTTACTGAAATTTCGGTTGCACTCAGTGACGTGCCCTGCAGGAATACTCAATCGGGAGCGGATGTAGTAAGTAATTGTGTGTGTATATTAAATAAACAATAATCACGAAAATAAATCGTAGTATTTTCTTCTCGGGCACGTATTCGGCAGCGATATTTTTGGAGGAGAGGGAAATAAAATATGTTTAGATATAAAACTCATGTATTACATTATGATACTTTAGAAGCACCCAGTGGCGTAACTAGAACTTCTAATGGCCGCGACAAAATATTATTGATTAACCAAATTGGGAGCCAAGTGGAGAAAAAAAAAGGCACCGGCAAAAGATTCGTAGATTCCGATTCTTATAATATAATATATGAATTATATTTGTATTCGTTTCTCCGTCCACTAAAAAAATATGCCTCGGGCTCGGATTTAGGGCCTCTAAATGGCATGGGCCCGTGGTTCTTTGCCCGTTATGCCACCCTATCGGTGAACGCCACTGGCAGTACCGTTTTTTAAATATCATGGGGGGGGAGTGTTGAGCTCCTTAGCTATCTGAATACATGCCTGCTTCTTCTATATAACCGACAATGGAAATTCAAAATCCTGTTCTAAAAATACCAATTTGTATTCAATAAATATTAAACTTTTCCTTATTGTGACACGGCGAAAATATCATATAAATTTCAAAATTAAATTGTATCAAATAAATATATTTTTATACAGTTGTTGTACTTTGAAGGTAAAGGGGGATTATGCATGTAGCTCCCAACCATATTCATACTGCATATGCGATATGTCACTAGTTAACGTAACACAATATAGATATCGTTTATATTTTTTATTTTCTATCGTGTTAA